AGGTCCGTTTTATTTGGAATTATTTATCTAAATATTGGAAAAAATACTAAGCCTAGAGAGACATAGATTACTTTTATATATATACCTACTTACTTTTATATTTTATTGTAAATCATATTTATAAAATCCATAATCATATATTCATATTATATATTTTATCTATCTTTATAGTTTATTCTACAAATATTATGGTAATATAATGATGTTTGTATTTTATTTTTTTAACAATTTTTTGGATAAAAATACTGGTTCAAAAGTTTTTACTAGAAACTTTTTAGATTTTAAATTGGCATGTGGTTAATAGTTTTTCCAGGCGTGAGGAAAAAACTGTCCTGAAATGGTAAAAATACGCTATAAATAAGACTCACTTTTCAGATTTTAGTTATTTATTCATAATTCCAAAAGTAATGTGACTAAAAATTTGAAACTCTTACCCTATAGCAAAGATATTTTTTTTCATATTTGATAACATTTTCAAAAAGCGCATTTGATTTAAATATAGAACTTTAAAAATACCTAATTTTTTGAAAGTCTTTATGTAATAAAATTTTTATTTTTGGATATTGAGTAAAAATTTAATATCACTTAACTCATATACGAGTACTTACTTATTTACCGATACTGAAAATTTTTTTAAAAAATTCATATCTGAAATTTATTTCATAAGCGTACATTTTTATACCTACGATTAATACAGATTTTACTGTTTTTACATCAATTTTTAACATCAAATGTTTATTTAAAAATTCATCCAATCATAATGAAACTCTGAATAATAAATATCTGGTTAAAAAATTAGTAATTTTCTTCGTCAGACAGTAAAATATTAAACAGGTTGATAAAAAAAGAACCTACCGATAATTAGACTAAAATTGATAGAATATACTTATAAATCGTTGATTCTTATACTGAATCTTTGCTCAGAACCGTTTTGATAAAGAAATGACTTATAATTTCTTTAAAACTCAGTATATTTACTACTAAGCTTGCCACTCGTCCCGGTGTCCCGGTCGATCATTTAGATTACACCAGTTAATAGAAGCTGATAGAAAATAACATTTAATACACTTATTTTGTTTTCATATCAAAATAAAAAGTCGTTCGATAGGTTTAGGCTTAGGGATTTCAAAATCTGGTATCCCTACCTATTACTATTATCCAGTTCGAGGACCAAAAAGACGAAGAACGAACTTCCACCACCATTATTTAAATAATAAATTTATATATTTATGCAATAAAAACTCTATTTTTCCATACATAATTATAAATCAGTATTTAAAGGTAAATTAACATAAATAAATTTGGGGATACTAATTTCGAAAATGTGGGTGCTAAGCACACCCAACCCCTCCCCAAATTACGCCTATCATGATATTTTAATATCAGATTTATGCCAACGATTTGGTGATTCTGATGGCCTATTGAAAAATATATCACTGTTGTCGTCAAAAAGATTAAGAGAAGTTGACAAAAATCTAAATCTTATTCTAAATGATGCTTTTGTTGAAGTTTGTTCTGCGTATAAGAATTACCTGAATCGTACTCTTCTATCAACAATTTGTTAGAAACTATGAAGAAATTGAAACAACTTCCAAAAACCTTTCTCTCATTAGATTTCTATAATGAATATAATGATGAACAGTGTCGGCCTGGCCAAGGCAGATAGGCAGTAATCGCTGTCTGGGCCCCATAGGCGCCCTGAAAGGAGGGCAAGATGGGGCGTTTGCCCCCCAAGAATTTTAAAATCAATCATGTGCCTACAATAAATATAAATATGACAACATATTAAATTGAACAATTTAAATATTAGTATAAAATAAATATTATTTTACTTAGATCGAGGAATGAAAAGTCGTTTGATAGTTAAAGAATTTTCAAAGTACAAAAATTTTCATGACTCTGTAAAAAAAAACATCATAAATCTAAGTGGCATTGTGAGTCAAAAAATAAAGCGAATGATCTTTGTAAAATTGTAGAAAATAAAAACAAAAATAATATGAAACTAATGCATTCTTCACTGCAAAAAAAAAAAAATTGAATCTAATTGAAAAAAATTAATTCCAATCATAAAAACCATAGTTTTTTGTGATACAAAAATCATTCCTTTCGGAGGAAATACTGGCGATACTGCTATCTTCAATAATTTATTGGAATTTAGAATAGATGCTGGAGATATGACTCTAAATGACCACTTACCGAATTCTCCAACAAACGTCACTTATATTTCCCATCAGGTGCAGAGTGAAATTTTAAATTTATGCAATCATATAATTAGATTTCTTTAGAGAAAAATATATTTCTTGTATAAAATAAATAGTATAATATAAATATTATTTTTATGTGTATACTGAAATTTGCTTACATTATATTGATATGTATGACTGTATTAGTCAGTGGTTTTCAAACTATTATTATACACGTGTTTCAGCCATGAACAGTTTTAAGACCTTTATTTTCAGTCATTATTTTATATTTCATAAACCTTGCCTTTTTGCCCCTCCCTAGAAAAATTTCTGCGGACGCCTATGCTGGGCCCCCGTCTTTTTTTTATATATGTATGTATAAATGTAACGAAACGTTTGGATAAAATAGTTACAAGGAACACGTAGCCGTAAAACATTTTAACTTTTAATTTTTAAATCTATAGGTAGTTAGAATAAGTAAATCGTACTTCTTATTATCTTAGTCAGGTTTTATAATTGTGCTGTAATTCGATAAATATAAATTATAATTATTATGAATGAATGATCTTGATATTAAAGGATTGTAGTTAGTTAATTCCAAAAATATATGATATAGGTACATTGAAAAACTTGAAGAATATACTATGGATATCTTGATAACTGTAACAAAGTTATCTGATGTTAATAGAGATTCTTTATTACTTGAATTAAAACAATTTGCTTCTTACTATTTTAATATTATTCCAAAAAAACATGGCATAATGAACGATAATGATAGTGCAAGTTATATTATAGATGAAGTAATGACATCTGATTCAGAAGATGAATTTGATTCGATAACTTGTAATGCCTGTTGGAAATGTATAGCATGTGCTTTTAAAATTATTACCCAACTATCTTGTCATTATGGTATGTACAACAATTTGAATCAGGTTTTTAAATACATAATGCTATTAACTTATTATTATTGCCATCAACTCAAGTCACTTATGAAAGAGTATTTTCTAAGCTTAAAGTAATAAAAACAAAATTAAGATCGTCACTCGATCAGCAACATTTAGAACCACTAATGATTATGGCTATAGAAAAAGATATTACTTTAAATGTGGATAAAATAAAACTAATAGATGACACAGAAAAATCGTCAAAAAAAACGACTTTTAAAAGACTTTTCATATGATATATTAAATGTACTTATTTTATACATGCAGTTTTTTTTTTAAATAAAAGTTAAATACTTGACTGTAAATTTAGATTAAGAGAATTTTTAACTTTATTCTTTTTTATTTAAAATGACAAATATAGAATCTATATATACATATATATATATATATATATATATATTACATTTTAATGACCATTTTACATATTTAAGGTTTATTTAATTTAAATAAAATAAATACATTTTGTAATATGGGGGTTGGGGCCCTTTCAATTAAAATCCTGCCTGGGCCGACACTAATGATGCATTTTTGCAAATAGATTTGAACTTGAAAAATGAATTTGAAGACACAGATAATATCAGTAAAGATTTATCAAGTAAACTAAAAATATGGCAAAGGTTCTTGATTTATTTCAGCTGTTTTGACTACTAATTTAAATGTAGTATTTCCTACATTATAAATGCTACTTAAAATATGTCTTTGCCAGTTAGTAGCAGCAGTGTGGAAAGTATTTCAAAGCTTAAACTTTTAAAAACTAAATAAAATCTACTATGTTGGATTCTAGATTAGAACTTTTGATGATAATTGTGAATGAGACATTCCAGTTGACAAAGAAAATGCGATACAAACACTTTGTACTTTTAGTTCATCTCTTTCAAAATCTCTTGTATACTACATTACAGAAATAAACTGATCCATATTAAAACAAAATGTTATTTGATTAAGTATTATTTTATTGTTTTGACATGAAAATATATTAAAAGTGAAATCATTAAATCTTAGTTCTTCAATTTTAACTAATTTATTTCAAATAAAATACAAATTATTCAGTATATTAGGGTGTGGGGCTATAATCCTTATGCGTTTGTTGGTTGGAATGTTTTTGATGGGTGGTACATTCTAAAAATAAATTTGATAATAGTACTTTTTTTAGAGCTTGGCGCCACTAATCCAGAACCCAGCTTCACCACTGGTAGTAATGTTTTAAAGTATTGATATAATTGAACCTAACATAATCTTTTTATTCATTTTATCAGTCTGGAGATCCAGGATAAAACACCTATTTTTTTTCAAATTCTTAAAATTTAAAAAATATAAATTATAATTTTTAAAAAATGTTTCTGAAAAGAAAGATAAAATGAAAAAAAAACCTAATAAAAATAAATCTTGGTTGGTTTTATTGTTCTTAAATATATTTACAAAATATACAATAGTTAAATGTAAATAATTGTGTACATTTATAATATAATTAATTATGTATAAACATAGTAACATAGTAAGATGTTTTGTCATCTATTAACGTCAAAGAAGATATTAACTTGAAAAAAAAAACCACAATTTTAAACAGCATATCCACTTGAATTATACTTGGACCACATATTATTGAAGAAATAAAATCTTATTTCAACTAATACTTGGTTTAAAACCAATCCTGAAAACAATAAAATATAATTTATTTAAAGAAAATATCACATAAGTGAAATGTTTTAAATAAATCAGAACATCTTTGTTAACAGACTAAACACAATTAAAAACTAAAATAATATATTTTTTTTATTTAGTAAAATAAACTTTATAATTTTAATTATAAATCAAAAATTTAAGAAAAACAATAAATATCTCATAATATTATTACCTATTAAAAATATTTAACAAATATTGCCCATCTTCTATGGATGACGAATAATCACTTTGATTCAATTTGTAAAATTCAATAATATTGGAATATCATTTTTAGTAATTGAACCTAAAATAAATTAAATATATGAGTAAAAACTACATTTTAAAAAAGATTAGATGTAAACTCACTTATATATAGCATGTTTCAGAAATTGCCATGTATAGATCAATAGATTATCCTTGAATGAGATCCATAATTTATATTATCATTTATCAGAACAATGTGAGGTTATTATAATAAAACTGGACTGAGAAATTAGATATAACAAAGAAATACTTGGAATAAGGTATTTTCATTGTGCAAGTTACATTAAATACAAAACAAATGCACTATTGTAGTCAATTACTTCACTTTACAATTGATCCATGATGCATTTGATGGTTGTGACACTTTCTTCCGACATCCATAGGTACGATTTTCAGAGAATTCAGCACTAAAGTACCTACTTACCTAATTCAAGCTTTGGTACATGAACAACTGCATATTTTCAAGTAAATGTAGTATATTTGATCCTCCAACAAGAATATTTTCCCCAATTTTAAGATGTGTGAAATTTTCTTGGAGTGACTAGACTTGGGTAAATAAGAGTTTGAATAGCTATTATTCACTCATGGCAGAATAAATAATTGGGTGTACATAAAAAATTTCAAACAATTGTCTCTTCTTCAAAACTTGTCGCCATTAGAATGATGAAGATCAAAACAATGATGATCGATCAAACAAAAAAAAAAAAATAAAATATAAAAAAAAGGCAAACATTTGTGGAAAATGAAGTTGCACAGCCCATAACAAGGCTAAAAAATGATCCATTGGAGTGAATTTTGTTCAAAAAAATATGCTAGTCTCCATGACTAACATACCTAACTTATTTTTGGTTTAAAATGACTTTATAGATGTAGTCAGATTTATATAGAAGTAGAATTACAATTTGTGGCCCATCGTGGTTCTTTTCTATGATGACAAATCATCGAAGACTTTTCATATGTTAGATATATACATATGTATATGCAATTAGGTAGGTATAGAAACGAAACCATTCTGAAAGTCAAGCTTCGGTTGAACCGCAGCTTGCTTTGCAGTCGATGTTCTCGTTATTGGAAGAAAATACTGCACCAGCAGCCTTAAGAAAAGCCATACAATCTTCGCGCTTAACGAATGCCATTTGATCTTGAATGGTCGAGATTGGAATAGTTGGACGGTAACTGTTATATCATAATAAAATTATCTTTATAATAAAATTAATTAAAATTATTAACTAAAAGCAAAAAGATTAATTTGAGATAATATAAGCAATACAGTTGAACTTGCAATGTATACATTTTTAAAAGAATATAATTTAAAAACAAGCACATATTTAATAAAAAAATAGTAAAAATTAACAAATTAATAGAGAATTATCAATTATTCCTAATACATATTATTTTTTAAAATAATTACTTTATTACTAGTTAACCTAAAATAATGATCTTTTTTTAAACTAATAAAATTACTTTAAATTTAAATATATTATAATACAATTAAATTGTCATAAAACAAACACAAACCTTCACAATCTTAACCCATAAAATTTAATTTTAAAATTACTCAAATTTAAAATAATAACACTCTGTAAAGAGTAAAAAATATATTAATACCTGTGCAAATAATGTTATGCCCTGAAAAATTATTTAAATAAATGATAAATTGTTTGTATACATACGATTTGGCAATAGCCAAATAGAAGTTATTGCGTTCTCTAGTCAGAAACATATCCATTAAGTATGGAGCCATTTTAGGAGCAACTTTGTATAATGAAAACAGCTGAATATGGTTTCCTAACCACCATGCATCTTTGGTTTTCAATGCAAAATCTACACAATTGTCTTTGATATCAAGCTCTTTAATATACAATATGATATTGTTTAATTCTGTAAAATACAAAATATTTACATTAAAATATTCCTCATAAATTATAGTTAATACAATTTATAATATTAATATAAATACCACATATAGCTCTTGTGTATATACAATACAGTATACTATAACAGAGGAATTCATTTCTATGCTTTTGAGCAGAAGGATTATCTTTTAGTTCCTCATATAAATCACATAATTGAGTCTGACATTGATTAAATTCTCCCATATCACTTTTTTCTAAAGCAATCCTAGCATGTGTTTCATAAACTTCAACTGTAAATGGATCTCTAATACCCTGAACCTAAAATAAGTACATAAATTATTATAATAATCATTATGACTCAAGAAGTCAAAATTAAAAAAAAAAAAACAAGTTTTTTTTACATTTTTTGAATTATATTAATTTATAATTTTAGTTATACACTAATCAATATTATTAAGCTTTTTTCAAAATGATTAGACATAATAAGATTCTGAAAATAATAATATATAACACAAAACAAATAATATCAATACACAAAATCTTACAGTTAAATCTTGTCGAATTGACTTCAATTGATCGCATGCAAACAGATAGTCACCATCACTCATCCATTTAGACTTAACATGTTGTAATGATTTTATCAAAATTCTTAGAGGTCTTACAGCATCAGCATCCGGTGCCTGTTTAATAATAATATGAAAATAATTCTAAAATATTTTATTAATTAATAAGTATAAAATAACATACTGCAGTTAATCTTAAATATTTTTTTTCTAAATCAATACATGTTCCTACAATATGACAAGAATCGATATGAAATTCATCATCATCAATGAATGATTTCTGAGTATGGTAATCCATTTTTAGCATTTGTCGAGGCTTTTTTTTTGGACTTCCTTGAGCTGAAAAACGTGCAGCACGTTTAGTAAGCAAATGTTTATCATAATTAGGTTTAGAATCAACAGAACCATATTTCTGATAGATATGAGCATCTTCATTATATAATCTGGAATATAAATAAATAATAAATTAATATTTATTAAAATTTAAAGAAACTAAAAAATAACAAAGATATAGACAAAAAAAAAAAATTATATAATAATTAATTACACCTTATAAAACTAGGAAACTTACTTTTTATTCTTATTTGTAAATTTACTCTTTTTACTATTACTTTCATCGCTGCAGACAGATAATGGAATAAAATCATCACTATTTTGTTTTTTATTATCACGTAGTGGACTATTATTCTTTTTAATTGTATCATTATTAGATCTAAAAGAAAAAAATTATTTTTCAAATGATATTCTATAAAATATTGATCTTGAAAATTAAGACTTTTAATGGATTGTACAAATTAACGTAAAATATTTTTCAAAGTTTTAATATTTATCTCATTTATATAGGCACCACCTTTTATAATGTTTATATACATAATATACTGAGTATAGGTAAAATGTAATTGCAACATTATTAAGGAAGACATGGTTGAAAGGAATTAAAAATAACATGATATAAGGATATTTGAGAAAAATGTTGGAAACAAAACTGTATAAAGCAGCGGTTTCCAATTTTTTAATAGTCCTGTACCACTAATATATTTTGAAAATGTTCACATCACTTGATCAAAATTTCCTTTCTTTTTTTTGCTTTTTAAAATAAATTAACACATAATTTGAGTTTTTTATTGAATTTTTATAATTAAAATTATATGGTAATTATTAAATACCAAGATGTTTGTTTATTAGGTCAGATGAAAATAGCTTTATATTACATGCATAATAAATATTATCGAAAAACGTAAACAAACTTTTCAACAATATAAATATGGCAATATATGTCACAAGTAGATAAGAGTTGTTTAAGATTAATAGAGTCTAATAGAGGTTCTTCAACAATCATATTTATCAAATCACGTTATAACTAATACATATGGAAAATTATTAATTCTGTCAAATTTATTCCATATTATTTAGTGTATTTTTAACAATTTCTTTAGCCGTTTCAAAAATAGTCATTGAGAAAATAACATTGTACACACTTAATATGCATACAAAATTATAAATTTTTTCATAATTCGCTTAATAAAGTCTCGATTAACCGTATTTTTCATTTATCTATGTTACCCTTCCACACCATTACCCCAGATTATTGAGGTTTTACTGTAATAGTAATACAATGGACATTATTTTTAAATATTTACCATAAAATGTACTTAAGGTTGGAAACAGCTGATGCAAAGGTTAGATTAGATAAAAGTAACAAAAACAGACTTGAAGAAGATGATAATTAATTTCATAAAATCAAAGCTGATTTTTCAAAATCCCCAAAGATATATGAATATACTCACTCATTAGAAGTACTTGGTGATGGCAAACAGGATTTGAATTTGGAAGTAAAGTAGCAATTTACATAGTTATTTGTGGATTTTTTGAACGCAATTTTAATAATAGAATTTTTATTCTTGCCATTTTCATGATTTTGGTTAATGGTAATATTTTCACTTAGCAACCTGTTAAAAAAAAAAATAGCATAAATTTAAATGTTTGATAAACATTTTTATAGATAATAATTTATAAAATTAAGTTTAGTAGATTATTGTATTAACCTTCTTAAAGGCTGTTAGGATTTTGCACACTATATACCAACTAAATTAAAAAAAAAAAAAAGCTTATTTATTATAAAAAATTAACTAATATTATAATTTTTTTTTTTTTTTTGGATTATGAATTAATTATTTTTCATTTAAAGAAGTATTTACATTTTAATTTTATATATCAAAACAAAATTAAAATACTAATATTTACATTTTTTTTAACTTCTAAAATTCAACATATATATATTTTTATAAAAATTTCTTAACTTTAAATCAATTAAATTAAATAATTTGTTTGATAATACATATTATATACACGGAAATTGTTAAAACTAAAAAAAATGTATAAATAATCCATGCAATAAACATGTCATACTCATATTCAAAATAAAGAAGATAATATCTAAAAATAAAATAAATTTGTATATTTACTGTACATCATAAATTACATTAATATTTTTCTATTAATGATAAAAATAAATACATACATTGGCATTGGTTCTTTGGACCAATCTTTGATCCACAATGATCCATCATGATTTGCATTTGTAACTTTTCCTTTTAATATAATATCCATTCTATCTCTGTCTATTTTATTTACACATTTATCTTGACATTTTTTAATGTAATCTCTTCAACAAAATGTTTAATATTTAATACAGACATACAAATATAAAAATAATCAAATATTTAAATCAATAATAATTACCTCAAACTCGTAGGACAATTATCAGGCAAATCGAATCCATTTTGTTTTTTTTGAACAGTTGGAATCATTTCCATTGAAGGTTTGGGTAATGGTTGTGGTTGAGGATTGCTGGGAACTATTGGAGTAAATGAATATGAAGAACTTACCATTGGTTTTGGAGTTGGAGGGGGTTGTAAAATAGGAACAGCTGGAACAAAATGTATGCTCGGATATATAGTTGGGGCAACTTGAGTTGATTGGTTAGCCATTGCTGCTTCCATTAAGTTCCTTTGCTTTTTCCGCCATTTTTTTCTGCCACTTTTTGTTTGGGGCATAGGAGGTAAAGAAGATAAATTTGGTTGTGGTGCTATATGAACAAAAATATCACTTTTGTGTTACAAAAACAAATATGAATAGTTAACTAATAATGCTCAATAAAATATGATTAAATTGAAACCAATGTGATGTTATGCCTAAAAAATGTATAAAATTAAATATGTTCTACAAACTAAAAACAATGTATTAATATAAATTTATAGCATAGTAAGTTTTAAATAATAAATGCTACAAATCCAACTTACGTAAAGGTACATCACATATTCCTGGAACAGGTGGAGGAGAACCTGGTGGTAAAGGAGGAAGTTTGTCCAAATCTTCACTATCAAATTGTGGTGTAGGCGGTTGCGAAGGAGCTGGTCCATTAGGCAGAGGAGGTGAATTTCCAGATAAACCATTTCCTTGTACAACAGAAGTCGAATCTAACACGACACAAAATATAAATAAAATATAGATTTTAAATATAATACCTAGTTAAGTAATACTAACCATTTCCATTAACAAATGGTTTGTAACTAAAACTTAAAGATTGACTTGGAAAATTTTGGTACCCTTGCTGAAATTATAAAAATTAATAAAAAATACCTCTAAATAATATAAATTCAATAAAAATCAAAGGTTACCTGATTGTAACACTGTGCTGTATAAAACGCATTCATATTATACATTTGCGATCCAGCATTATAACTAAAAAATAATAACATTAATTGGTAATACTTTTATAAAATTATACATAGAAAAAGCACAATTAAAATGTATCTTTCATAATTTAAACAAAGAAAAAAATATTAAAGCCAATCAATAATCAATATTTGAGATGATTCTATTTTTAGCAAATATATAATAAGACTATATATGCCGCAGCGAAACAATATTTCCTAAAGTCCTAAAAGAACAAGAAAAATCTGTTGCGTAACACATTAGTTGAGAAAGTATTTCTAATATGAATAATATATAAACAAATGAAAAACTCAATTGGGAATCTCAATATTAAAAGCCATTCTAATAACCCAAGGTAACATAAACAAATCATGTTAAAATTTTCATCCTTATTTAAAAACTAAACTTGATACATTTAAACAATTTGTTTCAACAAAAAATATATTAAAATAATAATAATTAATCTTTTCATTGTCAAACACTTTTAAATAATTGTACAATGTATAATTAAAAAAAATGTTTATTTTAATTTTGATATTCTTTCAACCTATACAATAAATGTCTTCATTGAGTTATTATTATTAAGTTGAATAATTTGTTGTATAGTTTTATATTATGAAATACTAAATTTTTTTACTATAATAATTTCACATTTAAAAAAAATGTATGTTTTATATTATATTATATTATTATTTTATAATATGTTTCTATGTTTTATTGAAATGTATAGGCATCCTGTTCTGAATGTAAATAATTATAGTTATATTAGTCTTATAATTTCTTTCGTAGAACCTGTATAAAATAACAAATTTGCTAATTCATAGCTCATGATCTGAATTTAAAAGTATTTAAATTTTTTTTCAGTAGTTTTAAATTTAATTTGACCAAAATTATAATATTAACTAAAGTATATTTTTTAAACTACAACTCTCTACAAATTTACACTATTATAAATTATATGTATTTGTCAGAGATTCAATTCATAAAGTACTCAATACTTATACTTAAAAAAATCAATTTATGGTATAGGAAAAAAAATTGTTTGATAAACAAACATTTAAGTTAACAACCTGATTAGTTTTATAAAAATATCATTTATTTTGACTTATAATAAAATTGTATGATTATCACTTATCAATAATAAAACACTTACTTCCCATAAGACCAATTCATTGATTGAGACCAATTAGAATATGGAGTTCCAGGAGTTCCCTGATTTTGATTCTGATCAGCCATAACTATAACCAATAAATTAGATGTAAAAAAAAAAAGAAGAAAAATTAATTCACAAACAATAAGCAAAGTAATTTCATTTCAATATTGAATTCAATAAAAATCCACTAGGACTGTTTATAATAGTTTTTATTTATATAATGATTACTATAGAAATGAAAAGTAAAAAAATATTCTCAATAACATTATTTAAATCAAAATATGTACTAAAATCATCAAACAAGATAAACTATGTTATACTTTAAAAAAAAGAAAAGGTTTGAGAAAAAAACTAATTTTACAATTTTTCTGAATAATTAAGAAAATTTAAATAAAATATGCTTTAGTTCATATATCTATAAAGATTAAGATTTTAATCACTATGAGTTAATTAATACAGAATACAATAATAATAATAATAATTATATTACCAATCATATCTTAGTATTAATTATGCTAGCAACTTGAACAATATGCATATAATTATTTAATTATAATGGGAACAATAGGGTACCTAACTAAAATTGAGTAAGATATTAATCAGAAAAAATAACTATGGATAGATACAACAGATTTCTATGACATTTTTAGATTGTAACTCATTTAATTTGTGCAATGTCAGAGATTAAAACAACAAGTTTAATATAAGTACTGTCAAGTCAGAAACTAACATAGGGATGGCTACAATTAAATTTCTACAAAATATAAATTAATAACTTACGATGCTATAACCAACTGTTATTAAAATAAAAAAATACGGCAACAGGAGAAACAAAGAATATATAATAACGATTTAAAAACACGCATATCAGTATAAACATGTAAAACCATAAGTAGGTCATCAATAAACGCCAGGGACATATTGTATGTAAACCGAGCATTCTGCGACGAGAAAGGATTACGAGAAAGAATCGCGTAACACAGTATCCGAGTCGAATGAAATACGGATTAATACAAATTACAAACCTCACTGTAATCGAAAAATTCGTTTGTTTCTGCCGCGTATAAAATTTCTGTTAACGACTGAAAAATAACAACAAAAAAAAAAGAATCAAAATTGTCAATGATAAAACCACAGACTGTTACAATAGATATCAGATATTACAAGTTAAACAATTTAAGAAATAAGACCACTCGTCAGCACAACTATAAGTATAAGAATGAAAAATTAGATTATCTAACTTGTAATTTACAGAGCAGCTCACTTCGATAAACTTCCCCGTAATAAACTGTAAAACAGTAGTGACGACTTGAGTTGGGGCAAAAGTGATAAGAACGACTAACACCAACTTAAAAATATAAAACTCAACCTAACCCAATGATGTGACCATGACTATAGACATATAAAATAATTAATTAGTTAATTAAATAATAAAAATTCTTTTATATGTCTATAATGTGTAAACGCTGAGAACACTCATATCTCTGCGTCGAGAACTGAAATTTGAAGTCTGATTTTTCGTTGGTTTTTATGAAGTTTTTACGAGTTTTTAATTTTTTTAAATTAAATAGACACGCGCATGCGCAGTACAACTTTTTTTCTTAAATGACAAACACCTATTTTAACCACTATAATTATTTTTCGTCTATTTTTTTAATGAATTTTGGTAACTAAACCAACTTTATAAGTCCAAAATTGACCAAGTTACAGCAATTTAGCCAAAAAACTAGAAAATGCGCGCGATTTTGAATTTTTTTGATTGTAACTCTAAAAATAATTATTCTAGAATTGTTAAGGCTTGATATTTTCACTCTTATTTGTTTAAGTGATATTTACACATTATTATAATTTTATCTACTGCATAATTTTCACTTTAATTTGGATATGTATTATAACTTAAAGTAGAAAAACGTAAATAAGCAGGCATGTTATTTATTTCGTGACATTTAATGGATCTATTGGAATTTATCAATAATTAACAATAAGTTTAATTTTTATTCAAGTTACAAATTTATTTATTTATTGATTAATTTAACGTATAAATTGTTTAAATTGTTGTCCTCCGTGAACAAAACATAATTCAACGCGTCGCATGAATTCTTTATTTGTTTCAGCAGTAATTTCTTCATCGGTCAGTTGATTACAATGATGTTTATGATATTTTAAATTGGAATAGAAACGTAATCTAATACTTATCGTATTTTATCAAGCATAAATAAATATAAATATATAAATAAATAAATAAATAAATAAATACAAGAAAATTGATGTAATCACTACAAGTCTACATATTTCATAAAGAATAAAATTCTTTTGTTTCATATTTGTTTTTCGAACCATTCAATAATATAAAAATTTTATTCTAAATATCCCAAGTTAATAATAAAAATAAGCTAAGTAGTAATATTATTAGTAAACCGTGGTTGATACAATAATATCTTAGTAAAATTATCAATATCATGATTTGAGATCGTCAAAAATAGTGTAGCAAACAAAAATTCAGAAATATGTAGATAATTGCAAAGCACAAAATAATTAAGCGACTCACAAAGATATTGAGTAAGCCTGAGACATAGACTTTTGATATAATAGTATATAAATATATATTTTAAGTCTATGGCACTAGATTTCCAATTAGCCATTGAGATAGGTAAAAATTCCGGAACGCTTAACTCCTATGTTCGACACGTAAAAAAACGGCTCGTCTCTACAGCCGTCGTTTGATGCTATCCCCAGCACTGTAAGGTAACAGACTAAATATATACACAAACGGCTGACCAACAAATCATCACTCACCACTCTTCCACTTTAATATAATTGTTTTTAATTAAAACTTAAAATATAATTCTGAATATTGAACGGAATTTATTTTGTGTAAGCACATATTGTAATTAACTAAATCTGTTAACATATAGTTATTTTTATTTATTCAAAGACATTTATAATAAGTATATAGTTATACTTAATAGTTTAATCATTACGGTGTACTTGGGTCAGTAGATAGTAGTTTGTTTGAGCTTTTATTAAAAGTTTAAACTCGTGCCTTATATTAATTATATGTAGATATTACTAATTCGATTTTGTACATATATGTATCAATTAATAAATTAACATATAAATATCATACTACAAATATACATTTTATTTCAATAAATAGATTTTTACAATATGGCTACGTGCCATGTAATATTATTACAATTTTTACAAAATAATTGGTAAATGATCGCAAAACATTGGTTTATTTTAATAATTTATACAATAAAACATAAAATATATTATATTGGCATCCAGATTTTTTGTTATTTGAACAATTAATACAATTAAATAAAATTGAAATGTAAATCTCCATTACGAGTAGGTAGTAAATCGGCCATTGTAGGACTGGTGGCGTACTTTGGTGATAAATTCTGAACTACCAAACTGTCGCGATTTTTCGCTTCAATATCATACCGTTGAAAAATACGGAAACTGTGTCATCTTCTCTACATCGTACATTATATCATATAATTTATATAAACTATCTCTAGCCTTCATGGTATATTATACCATATTTACGATTATAGTTACGATGACTTCGTACCATATTACATTCTCAGACGTATGGTAGTGGGGATAACATTTTGACCGGCAGACCGTTTTTTTCATCTATTATAAGACGCACTCCAGTATTCTTATCTATTTTTTTTTTTTATATCTCTATACACTTAGCACTAGATTTTGGAAACCCCTAAATTTGCCGTTTTCTTATCAAATATTTATGACAAGAGTGCAAGCATTGAGTAATTACTCTATATTAGTAATATATTATTATATTATTTTATATCTTATATTATTAATTTATTACTACAGAACAAGATATTACTCTATGAGTGCAGGGCTTACATTGAAAGTTGACTGAAGTCATTTTTATTACTTATGGCTCATGATCTGGATCAATAAATTATTTATAAAACCCCGTTAAATCTATACCTTATTATAGAAATAACATAAGTTTAAGCATATCAGGTTACATTAGGTATATTATTAATTTTCAATTTTGTTTAAGGATAACATTGATTATAAAATTATAATTAAGCAATATGGAATTATTAATTAAAAGTGTTGGTGATATTGATTATCAACCCGAAAAATGTAAGTACTTATTTTCTAATTTGTCAAAACTGTGTAGTTACAATTTAAAAAGGATTGTATTTATTACAGATGTCAAAGAATTATCCCAAAGGTGTATGGGTCCGGAAGAACTGTTGCAACAGAAAATTAATGTGCAATCATTGGGTGAACAAATTAATACATTGCTTAAGAAAAATGTATTCTACAATTATACTCAGTTTATTGATACTGCTAAAGAAATAGCTAGTAATTTATAAAAATGTTAAGCTTGTAAGTTAATATCAATTTTAATTAAAATTATTTATTTTTCAGATTTAGAAGGTGAAATGTATCAGTTGTCACATTTGCTAACTGAACAAGCATCTTTACTTAATTCATTGGCTAGTTCTTCAATTGTTAGTATAAACATTTCTAATTCAGGCAAAGAAATTAATGGAATTAAAAATATTGAAGTAGATAATATAATTGAAGAAAAAAGGGTTCAGAAGTTGTTAAATATTATGGAAAGAGTAGAAAATTGTCATGTTAGTATTAGTTGCAATAAAGATTCCAAGTTGTAGAAACATTATAAACTTAATTCTAGAATTTAGTTGATGTTCCCGGTCGTAAGTGCTTGCATGAAGGAGATTTATTAGAATTGGATCCTATTGAAAATACACCTGTCCAAAGAATTCATTGTTACTTGTTTACAGATATTTGTATTGTTTCTAGTTGGTTGTCTAGCAGGTAACTAGTTTTTATTTATAAGTAATTATAATACAAAGCATGCTATGTAATAGATTTTTCACATTTGAATTTATTATAGACGTGGACCAGCTAGATATAGATTTCAGTCAACGTATGACTTGGGTAATCTTGCTGTTGTTAATATTAAAGACATAAAAAATGCATTTAAACTGCTTGCTTTTCCTGAAACTAGAGTATTTCAAGCACCAAATACTGGATTAAAGGTTTACTATTTATAATAAATAAATAAATTTAAACTATTATATTTGAAACTATTTTATAGAATGATTGGTTATCAAGATTTGAAGCTGCTAAGAAGTCTCAAATTTCTATTGACAAGATGAAAAATATTGAACATAAAACAATCCAAAGAACCGATTCCATTCAAATAGTTCATAATTGTAAGGATTATTATTTGACTTAAAATAATAATTATTAAATTTCCATATTAAAAATTTGTTTGTTCATTAGCTATATTCTTCATAAATTTATTTGATAGTGCCCTAATACCTAATAAGTGAACAGAAAACATATATATATATATATACTTAAAAATTTGTTTACTTAAATTAATATTTAATATTAATTGAATCAAATCCTAATAGCGAGAAACAAATATAATTACTATTTCATATTTTTATTGTAAAATAGTATTTATAATTATAAAAATATTTCAAAATGTTTTTATGACTGTTGAATTGAATTGAAAGAGTATATATATTAAACATTTGGATTTTTTCAAATAAGATGACTGTTTGAATAGAACGAATCCTAACTTTTTCAAATGTATTTATATCAACTTGTTTAAACATTTAAAAAAAAAAATTGATTTTTAAATTATTATTACCCAAATATTTTTTTTTTATTTAAAATGTATAACAATTAAAATAATTATATTGAAAATTATTTTACTGAAGAAGTGTTGAAATTAATAATACTATTCAATAAATTTTACTAAATCTTGGAAGTTTATGACTTAAAAAAACATTTAATTATTATTTAAAATTTTAAATATTATACATGTTTAAAAATGATGAAAGATTAACAAATAGTGATTTATATTACTAAAACTGAATTTTAAGTTTGTAAAAGACTGGAATTTTATCTCATCCTAATAAGAAATTACTAAAAAATGATTTTAAATTAAAATAATTTTTTAAAAACATTGTGTCAGAAACTGTAGAAATAAAAATTAGGTACCTAGATTTATATTTCATTGAAACATATTTCTAACTATGGAAAATAAATCAAGAATAATATTAAAAAAATTAATTCTTTAGTCTTCTACTTCTGATTTTCTGAGTCGTAATTGATCTCACAGATATTAAAGTGTATTCTATAATTTAATATTTTTAGTTACAAATTAATATTTTGAGTCCCAATATTTTTTTGGATTTATATGTTATTAAAAATAATTATTATTTGTACTATTATTCTAGCATTTGAACCTGAAAATTCAGAAACAGAATTACCTGAATGGATCATTGATTTAGCTGATGATTTAGATGTATTAATTGCTCAAAGGCATTTCGAAGATGCAAATTCTTTAATTTCTAAAGCCAAACAATATTTAGAAAATCATTGTCATCAAATGTCAACACTAATTGAACAAGAAATAAAGTATTTATTTTCTCATTTAAAAAAAAAAAAAAAAATTAACTATCCAATAGTAAAAATATAAATAATCTTGGTTATTTGAAAGTACCTAGTATATGATACTCATGAAATTAGTTATTTTAAGCTCATTCAACTCTATATAATTATTATTTTCTTATATAATAATTAATGATAATATTAATGTAGAACTACAGTTAAAGTAACAAATTTGCTTTTTAATAATTGGGAGCTTATAACTAGTACCTCTCATTAACATATTTAATATGAATTTTGTTTATGCAACTCCTAAGTGTGTAATTAATATAAAGTGCTAAGTTGTTGGTTTATGTTAAAACAAGAATATTAATTGTATTTTACCAATTACTTTTTTGGTTGATGAACGATAAAGTTAGTTTTTTCAATATAATTTTTTTTATAATACTTTACTCAACTATTTTGGTTATCAGAATGCCAGAGATTGTAGAAAAAAGAACATAATTTATGACTTAGTCTAACCCATAAAACTAAATAAACCATACGAAGTAAATTTATTTGTATTTTACAGATCTAAATTAGAAAATCGTATTGAAACACTAACTTTAGTATTAACTAAAGAACTTCAAGTTTCTCCAGATAAATCACATAAAGGTGGATTAAGAGCAGCTCGAAGAGCAGTTCGAATTTTAAATCAATTAGATAAATCGTCTCAAGTATATATTATGAAAATATATTAATTTCTATTTGGTTAAGGTTTCTTTTTTATATCGTAGGCATGTGATTTATTTTTGAAAGTCTGTTCAAATTTATTGAAATCTCAGTTACAATACGTCAAACGTGATGGTGCAATGGCTACATTTGTTAAAAAATATTCTATGGTGTTTTTTGGAACCACAATAGAAATCACTCATGAATTCTTGTACAAAGCTTTTCCAAACAGTCCAGCTTGTTCATCAGGTACTATAATCAGTTTAACTATTTGAATAATATAATTAGTATAGAAAAAATGGGTTTTGTTTAGCTTTTATTTTATGGACTATTCAAGAAGTCAACGATTTTATGGTTATATTGATTAAACACATGTTCATTCCTCAAACATCTTTATCAAATTTATCTGAATGTATAAAAGCAATACACAAAAATTGCCATGAGGTAATATTATTTTATATTATTTAGTTCAGCGGTTCCCAAACTGTGCTCCATGGAACCCTTAGGGCTCCGCAAATATTTCTCAAGGGCTCTGTTCATTTTACCATAGAAAAATTTAATAATATAACCACTGTTGATCGTTATTTTAAACAACAATATTATGTATATATTATATATTATATATATATATATATATATATATGTTTACTAGACTACGTCAAATTAAATATTTTTATTGTAGTTATACATAGATACAGAGGCGGAACTAGGAATTTTAATCCTGGGAAAAATTTTAAAATTTCACCCTATCATCAACTAAAAATCAAATACCTTTTTCTACAATTTTTTTTTTAATTTTTAGCATACCAACATACTTATTGAATCTTAAACACATTATCAGTAATAAAGTTAAAAATATAAAACTAGTAGTCAATAATACATTATATACTACAAAAATTACACCTTCATCTTCCTGCTCCTAGTTCAGTCCCTATATATATAATAACAACATTAAAATTCCAATAATTATTATATGTTTAATTATTTTAAATATAATTTTTTAGATAGTACTCATTCCCATTTCAGTTATTACCCGGCCGGCCAGGTATATTGTATCATTGATTATATAAATATGTATATTTAATCAATGATTGTATGTTTAGATAATATTAAATATACACTATCTCCTTTTGAGTTTCTTCCTATGTAGATACATATCATATGTTATATACTTCATAGAATACAGTTAGATAAAACTTAATATTAAAGATTTCTTGGGGCTCCACAAGAAAATACTGCTTAATAAAAGGTTCTGTGGCTGATAAAGTTTAGGAATCGCTGATTTAGTAGCATTGTTATTTTGTTATTATAGTTGTTAATTATTGAATTATAATTACTAATGAAACTACAAGTAATGTGCATGTATTTTTGTTATCAATATTATTATAATTACTAATATTAAGAATGTGTTTTTAATTTTGGATAAACCCTAAGTTAACAATATTCCATTGCTGTGGTCATTCTATTGATATACATCAATTTATGTATACGTAATACACAATTAATTTCTTTAATTAATCCTACCGAAATTTTTTATTACTTATTTTTATTATATAACTATTTTTATCTATAAACTTATATTCTAGGATACTTAAAAATGTGAGTTTTGTATACCTTTATAAAAAAAAATTAAAGCTTAGGTTTCACTGAAAATTTTCCTTAGTTCGATTCGGTTTAGAGAAAAAATAAGTTAGTGTTTCAGTTCCGGTTTGAAATAAATAGTTTAAGTTTGGTTAGGATTTGATTTTTCTTGGTTCTCGGTTCAAAAGCAAAGAAAAAAAAAAGTTTGGTGTAGATTACGTTCGATGTAATTTATCATGGTTCGACCTATCATTAATTTATAGCTTAATGATGTTTTTAAAATCTTGTCACAACATATAGTCTTAATTCCTTCTTCATATAAATATATTTATATATATCTTTAATATGCAATTTCTGAAATCTGACAAAAAAATGTTGGTTAGTTTAAAATATTGTAATCAATTATTACTGACTGGTAAGTAGTTTAAATAAAAGATTATTATTTTGTATTGAAACTTAGAGGGTTTTATAGGAGTTAAATCTTGAATGCTGTTATGGAATTTGATGTTAAGAAACTTCCCATCAAAATATTTCTTTATAGTCATTAAAGTTGCAAATTACCGAATCAATTTTTTTATGACACAACTTTGTGTACTTAATATTATGGAGTGTAACTTATATGAAGGAAATTAGAATTTATATTGTTACAACAACACAAAGAAAGTATCATTTTAGATTCGTAAAAGTATTGGTTTTTTTTTTCAATTATTAAAATCTAATAGTTTTATAGAAAATTAATTTTTAATTTTTTTGTTTGTACCTCTGTAAAAATATTTTTTTAACAATTTTTTTTAGCTCTGTGATTATGGAATTGATCTACAGTTTCAAATTGATGGCCAACTTAGAATTCCTCTAACTAAAGCAATAAATGATATTAAAGATAAAACTATTGAAGTAATTAAAATAAGATTTTCTGAAGATAAATGGAAGCCATATAATCTGAAAACTAAACAACTGAGGGACAAAATTGTTGAAGAATTTACAAATTATGGTTTTTCAAACTTTGAGTCTTATAATAAAGGTAAAATTATTCTTTATAGTATACTATAAAGTGTAACCCTAACTCATTAAGATATATCAATACATTTTTTTCTCTTTGCATTCAACCGTACGGCTGGTTTTGCAGTTAGACACATAATCTCTACTCTTCCCTGTTTCCGCCTAACCTCTTGAGTTCTATGTAATTTTACAGTCCAGCATCGGAAATCATTTGCTCAACAAATTAAGTTCTTGGACCTCCTCGGTCTTTTATTTTCAATTTTTCCTTCTATACAATTAACTAGTGATGGTTATACACCTACCGAGGGTAAAAATGAAATCATTAAGAATGAGTTCTATGAAAGACTGGACACATTATGTGACTTATTACCAAATAGTCAAGTTAAAACATTACTTGGAGACTTAAATGTTAAGATAGGGTAAGAAACATTCTTCAGTCCGATAATAGGGAGAAATAGCTTACATATAAACTCAAACGACAGCGGTACAAGACTAATTAACTTTGCTATGGCACGAATTATGGTAGTAAGTAGCAGCACTATCTTCCCTCATTAAAAACATACATAAGCAAACGTGGATATCGCCAGATGGGCGAATGAGACACCGAGATAGATCACGTAATAGTAGATGAAAGATTTAAAATATGTATAATGGATGTACGTAGCATGAAAGATAATAGTGGAATATCAGACCATTTCATTGTAAAAACCAAAGTCAGAGTAAAATTATTAACAAAATGGAAAGAGCGAAAAGCACCTGTCAAAAAGATAAATATTGAACCACTGAAGAATCTTCAGACGACAGAACAGTACAAAAATAGGTTAAATGATATACTGTGGCCAACGGAAAAGTATACATGCATACATGAGATGTAGGAAAAACCGAGAAATAAATCAAAAAAAATGCAGAGGAGGTTCTGGCATTTCAAGGAAAACGATAAATAAATAAATGGTGTAATGAAGAATGTAAGACTGTCATAGTAGAAAGATACAATACAAGCAGTGTCGGCCCTAGAGGGTGGCAAGTGATGCAGAGCACCGGGCCCTGTGCTTGTATGGTGCCCAATAAGTTATGTATTACGAATATCACTTTATCTATAAATAAAAATAATATAGTCTCAGTACGCAAATCGCAACCTGTATGGTCGTGTGGTTTTCTCAGGAAACGGGTTATTATCGACGAAAATTAAGACGGTATAAATTACGCATAGCTTTGAAGTATTATATGCGCATGCAATTGTAAAATTGTTTATCCTCGACGACGATTCGAAATATAGTATATATTTATTTGTATAATAACATGAAAAAACATAGATTTCTATAAACAAGTGATAAATTAATTTATATATATGGGGCCCCGAAAACCGTCGGGCCAGCACTGAATGCAAGAACAATAATGCTAAGGAATCCAAGTGAAACCAATAAACGAGAATTAGCCTTAATGCAATGAAGAGCAAAACAGATAATCAGAAAAAACAAAAGAATGTGGGAGGAATCTAGAATGGAAACAATCGAAAATAGTTAAAAAAGTAAAACAAAACTATTCTTTGAAAATGTGAATGAGGTTAAAAACGGAATTAAACCAAGATCAACGATAATGAAAGATGACGAAGAACACTAATAACTGATAAGGAAAAAGTAACACGAGAATTCAAAAAGTTTTAAAGAAAATTTTGAATATACCAACCGAAACAAAGACAAAAGGCAATAATACTGTTACAGTAGAGAAATATTTAGAAGAACAATAATTGGAAGAGGTTAAAATTGCGGTCGAAATGCTAAAGGGAAGGAAGGCACCAGGAGAAGATTCAATAATATCGGAATTTTTATAGAAAGGAAGAATTATTCTAATGATAAACTTAAAACAGCTGATAATTAAAATATAGAGAGAAGAAATAATACCAAAACCATGGCAGGTTTTCGTACTATGTCCAATATATAAAAAATATGTAATGGACTGCCAAAATTATAGATAGGGCCGGCCCAAGCAAAAATAGTGCACTAGGCAAAATCAAATTTTGACGCCTCAAAAAAAAAAAAAAAATTGAGCTCTTATTTTAACTTAGCCTTCCCCCTATTTTTTATTTTATGGATAAAATTATATGTAAAAATAATTTCTATTACTATTACTCAAAACCCATCACTACCGCGACTAACGGATATGTGGTTATTTATATTTTTCAAATAATTGAAAACGCCCAGCGTAGGTCGTAATATAAAGTAATATAATAACTTAAGACAATATTATTTTATTATATAGGTAAGTGGTTTTCACGAATGAATTCATTTAAATGTTTTTCTTATAAAACACCAATAGAACTAAAAAAATGTTCGGTTCAATTTTGAAAATGCCGCCCCTACTAAAGTGCCCCTTTAGGCAGGTGTCTAGCTCGCCTATACCTTGAGCCGGCTCTGACTAAAAAAACTAGTTCATTTTTGTGCCTCAGTATGTGAATAGTCATATTACATCAACTTGCTTTGATGATTTTGAGTATCTCTTCGCATTCATTTATTCCACTGAGTATGTTTTTGTTGGTATAGTGTTCTGTCCAACTTACTTGCAGCATCCTTCTCCTACACCATATTTCAGAGCTTTAAGGTTTCATTGTTCTACCTTATTTAGTATCCAAGTTTCGCTGCACTATAGTTGATTATTCAATGATATTTTTGAAAGCATATCGCAATCTTTTCTATTATTTTTTCCGATTCGTGCTCGTTATTGGCTATGATTACAATATTGACAACAAATTTTTTGAAGGATATTATTTCTCTACTCACATGTATGCCTATTTTATTTTCGTGAAGTGTTAATCTAATTTCTTTAGGCTGTCCGATATAAATATTAAATAGAGTTAATAAGAGTGGCATTCTAGTTTTACTCCCTTCCTAATTATCGTTCACTGTAGTCACATCCTATTTCTTACACACATTAACACATATGAACAAAATTCTAGAAGAGATTTTTATCTGGTTCCGTAAGAAGCCCGATTTTTGGTACCTTTAAAAAATCATGAAATATATCATGTCAAGGCTCGGGACTTATAGCATTTAAAATCATTAAAATAAGCGCTTAAAAACATCATTATAAGCACTAAAACTATAAAATTCTAATTAAAAAACCAAACAAAATAAAAATAAATTTTTACTTTCAAGACTAAATGGATTTTCTAAGGGGAATTTTCTGAGGATTTTCTATTTTTTTGAAAAATAAAATGTAAACTGTTCTCTCTATTCTTGATTATTCTGATGTTTGACACTCACAGTCCTATTTTCAGCGTTGGAATATCATTGTTAACCCTACAACTATACCTTGGACGCAGGGTTGGACTAGGCCACCGGGGCACCGGAGCATGCCCCGGTGGGCTGTTGTAATTTCGGTTAAATAAAATTACTTAGATTTTTTTGTTTTTAATTGAATGCGTATATCTTCTATTCTTGAAATAAAATAAAAAATGTCGTCTTGTAACATGACATTACTAATGGATGCGGTGACACAGGATTAGGTAACTCGGAGTTTGAAAATTTAACATATTTAATGTCGCGATAGGCCTATTGATAACAATTATTTCATCAGAATATTTATAAATAGAAAAATTGTAGGAAATTTGAATACAAAAGATGTGTACAATATGTTAATCATACGAAGTACCGTTCGCGTTTATTCAAACAACATTTTATTAAAATAAAATGTTGGTATGGGTTACGGTCTTAGAAGATTAATTTTCTAAGACCATGGTATGGGTAGACATTGTCGCGCAAAATATGCGATAACGAAATTGTTTTTCGATAATAATAATTTTTATAAGGTTTATTAGACTTTAACAAGTTGGCTGCCATGAGAACTTTTTTGAGATCTTACTGAACTTCAACTCCTTGTCACGTGTTTTTTTCAAAAACTTCCATTAAATGATTGGGTACTTTTTTTTTTTAGTTCTTTGACTTCAAAATTTTACATACACAATATTAGCATATATTTTAAGATTTTTTATTGGTTTATGGATTTTTAAAATATGAGATTCTAAATTAAATCTCAAAATTATTCTTTACCTATTTCAAATATAACCATTAATATATACATTTATACATTTAACCATGGTAGTACACAATCAATTTAAAATAATATCAATTGATAAAAATAATTTTAATGATTTAAATTTATTTGTGTTGACGATTCTTACGATTCACGTTTATTATAATATCATAATCAATAATATTGTACTTATATTATCAAAGTATCAATATCAACCAACATGGTTTATAATAAAAAATGTTCGGTATGGCATAACTCCTTAAAAAAAAATATTATTTCATGTGCTATCAAAGCAGGCGTGTAGAGGACACACTGTATAATTGAATTACACTTTGAAAAACCTAATAAGTGAGATCTACTATGAGAATTCAATTAATAAAAAAAATATTGCCCGAGATTTCGTATGGAATCTCATAGCAGGCAAGTGAAGTTTTTGTGAGATTTTATATGGGGTCTCATGGCAGGCAATTTAAGTTTTCAAAAAAAACCTTGGCAGCCAACTTGTTAAAAACATTTTATTAGTTTTGACGTTCAATCAATAACAATCCTGTTACTAGTTTCCAACCTTAATGGACCTTTGGGCCACATTCACAAATTAAAAATGGTACTAGAGCCAGACAATGTAAAAAATGTTATGATATTCAATGACATTTGCTAGTTTTGAAAATTACTGTAAGCCGCATAAAAGAGACATTAGTTGCCGACCCCACTGTTCTAGCTCAATTAAAATTAAATGTATAAACATATTTAAATCAAATAATTTTTTATGGTGTAAAATTTATCTTAATAGGTCATTATATCAATATTATAGATAAGATATACTATGCGTAAACTAGATTTATTTAAGGAATAACATTAAATCTGAAAATATTCAAATGTACTTGGATGAATATTGTTTTTTGAGTTACGAAGATACATTTTCAGTTAAACAATAATTTGATCAGGTACCTACCTACTTATAAAGCTCCATTGAGGCCGTTCGAAATTATTTTGCCCGGGCCGAGCTATAAAGCTAGTCCAACCCTGCTTGGACGACGACGACCTACGTGACAACGTAGATAAAATAAGAATTATTTTTAATTTTAATTCTATCAAAAACGACTTGGCAGGATAAAAACTATATAAACGTAAAAATAACTGGTCAAATAAACAAAAATAATCAGAAAAACTGGAAATATGCATTTTTTTGAAAAATTGCTAAAAAAAAGCAATAACACGCAAATTCAAATTTCATAGTTGTACGTGTTATAACTTAACATACGCTTCTATAGCACTCTGCTACATATTAGTCAATTCATAAAAATAAGCAAATGCTTTAACTCCCGAGCCCTGGTAATGATTAATAATACACTTTTTTCAATTTTTTAAAATTTATTTTTAGGACTTAGAAATGACAATTTCAAAAATCGGTTTTCTTATGGAACTAATTATAACTTTCCTTTACAATTTTGTTCCTAGGTGTTTTTACGATAAAAGCACTGGGTAACCCATGTTATTGGAACGCGCAAACTTGTTCTTAAATGTATTTTTCAAGCGATTTTTTTTTCGTGAAACTTTTTTTTAAGTATAGAACATATTTTTCTGTCACTTCTCGAAAGCCTTTTCCAATATTTTAAACATTATAAATGTGTCAATTAAATTTTATTTATTTAATTTATTTTTCTGTCATTATTCTTAAACTTAAGATTGCTCTCTAATACCTTTGTTCTTACTAAACTCAAATTAGTTATTGCTTAATTATTTTTCCACTATGGTTCTTAATTAAATTGCATATTAATTTAACTAGGACTTTTTAGTTGTGTCTATTATTAAACTTATCGTTTTGAATTCATTACATTTATCAGCTGCTGTTTTTTTTAGGTATAGGTATTATAATACTTTCCTTAAAGTCTTCTGAAATTTCTCCTATAGTGTACCTATATATCGTTCACTAATTTATTTAAATAGTTCATCTTGAAATTCTGTGCTTGCATTTTGAATAAGTTCCATAGCATTAACTTTAAAGTTTTGTTGAATTATTTTTTTAAGATTATATATCTTGATTGTTGTTATTTTTGAAATTGGCCGCTTCTACTTCCTGATATAGAGCTTCAAGATATTGTTTCCATCTTGTTGCTATTTTGTCATTGTACAGTATCAGGTTCCCATCTATGCCTATTATTTAATTTTTTAGTTTAACCTACAAATTTTATTAAAATTTGAATAATTACTGACCATGTAAATAATTTTTTAAAGAAAAAACAGAATTTAATTATAGTTATCATTTTTTTAGGAGATTTTGCATTAGTTATTTCGTTATAGAACATTCTGTATAGTAAAAGATTATGAATATTGTTTTAGGTGATTCATGGTTAATGTTAACTCAAAACACAATAACATTCACACGTACATATCTATTATTATTAAATGATAGTTTAGTAATGTATTCGCCTGATTTAGCAACTGCCATTGATCAACTGTTGTATGACGTTTTTGCTGCTCACTGTAATTACATTAAAAGTTCTTTGAAAAATAAAAATTTTATAAATGATGTAAGTATTATTAAATGAACAGATATAATAATAATATTATTTACATGTTAACTAATTATATATTTCAGATAAATATTATTACAACCAATGCTAGATTTATTTTAGACATACTTTTATCTCATTGTTTTAAAATATATTCAGCATCTACAGGTAATGTTAACCCACAAATTCACATTCGTTTGAAATCGGAATTCGGAATTATTCCTACTCAAAATATTACTGGTTATATTTAAAATTGTATAGTATTTAATATTAAAATGTTATTGTATTTTATTATCTTATTTAAGACATTTAACTTGAGATACTTTATGTTATTAAGTATTTTACTATTTTTAAATATATAATATTTTATTTATTAAATACCATTTATACACTATTATGTATTTACTACTTGGATAAATATTATATTTTCGTTATTAAATGTTTTAATTTTGTATTCACCATGATTAAATTAAATATAAATATAAATAAATATCAAGTACAATTGATGCTATAAAAAACTGAAATTAATTTTAATTCTAATTTTTTATTATTATTAAATGCTTTTTTTATTATAAATATATTAGGAATGGAAAAAATGCATAATTTTAACCATAATCATGTAACAAAGTAATTATAAATAAATTATTGTTTACAAATACTAGGGCACAATTTTCTGAAAAATAACATATTGTTTGGCCAAGATGTTGGATGTAGTATCATTGATTATAAATACTCATCATTTAATTTATGTATTTCAGGTATTTCATGTATTATTAGTAGAGGTCGGATTTATATTCTCTTAAAATCCTTAAAATATGATGTTTTTATGTTACATAAAATAGGCAATATATTCTCTTAATATTCTTTTAAAATACCAAATATATGATGTTTTATGTCCTTAAATATAAAAATATTCTTTTAATAATAAAAAAAATCAGTTTAAATTTATTTTTTATTAATTTGGTGTTAAATATATTTAATTTAATTAATTTTACAATAACAATTAATTACTATATTTGTTCAATGTGTTACGATGTCATTTTAGTACGTTGGTTTGTAAGAATATTTTTGTATATGCTGAAGGCAGTGGCGTAGATACAATTTTTTTCTGGGGGGGGGGGTTGTTTAAGAGTAAGTTTTTAAGTGTTCTTAGTATATCTTAAAACGAGGTCATATGTAATAATATTACATTTAAAATGGTATTATTATTATGTCCCGTATTTAATGAAAATTATTTTGTTACTCAATTTTTAATATATACCTAATCATAGTAAAATCAAAATATTTTACTATAATATGTAAATATTAATAAATAATAATCAAATATCAATAAAAAAAATTTGTGTGGGGAGGGTGGAAACCCCTTACACCCTCCCCGTAACTACGCCACTAGCTGAAGGGCCGTTCGACATCAACCGATGTCACTGGAGAATATTGCAAGTCAGCTGCCATAGTCGGCGAATAATTTTCCGGAAGTTGTACTGTATTATTTCCACTAAGAACTTGTCCAATATTTTTCAAAAATTTGTATCCTTTGTTTTTTTGTTGAAATTGCAATATTTTTTTTTTTTATTACTTCTCCTTTTTCTCCTGGTATCTGCTCAAGTTGTGTAAAAGCGTTTTCGATAATATTAAACATATCAACCAGTGGCGTAACTGAGAAAAAATCTAGGGGGGCAATATAATATATTTATTATTACTAAAACCCTGAAACCCCACCTCCTCAACAGTTAATACATATTTTTATTGTATGTATTTTATACACTATATCTAATTGTTTAATTTTACATAAGTCTTTTAACTCATTTTATGGTTAAGATAAACATAAATTGTAGGTAGCATGCACTAGGTACCAATATTGTTGAATAATATCCATAAGAGTTCATTAATAAAAGTTGCTATTTGTACTGTTGGATTATCTGGGGGGGGGGGCAAAATTATACCTTTATATCTCAAAAAATGGTCAGATAAGGCACTTGCCCCTCCTTGCCCCCACAATCACACCACTGACATCAACTAAGGGAGTATTTGATTTTTCCAAACTTTTGATAGTTGTAACAATTTGAAGAAAATTAGTTTTAATAAAAATCAAATCATTTTTTACAGTAATAACTAACTAACCTGTAGGTGTAACATATTTTTGCATTTTTCAATACTGACTGGTGACTTTTCTTCACTTAATTTGTCTATAACATTTTTCAAACCCTCAAAATTATTGCAATTAAATACAGCGGCTTCCAACCAAGTTCCCCACCTATTAATACGGGTTCTGGGGCTAATAATGGCATATTGGGCAATATTTCTTTGTACACCTGGACATGATATGGCGCTATTAAAAATACTTTTTTTAGATTACTGATTAATTTGTTAACATTTGGAAACATTTCTCTTACTTTCTCTGCAATCCTGTTCATCATGTGAGCTACACACGTAACGTGAATTAAATTTGAGTAGAAAACTTAGTGTATCACCAGTTTTTGTCATGTATGGAGCTGCATACAATAACATTAACAACACTTTTTCGTCATTTCCACCCAACGGCCATAAAATTTTTAATTCATCATTGATAAACCGAACAACAGTGGAATGATAAGTTTTTTCCAAAACTTTGCATGTCAGAAGAAATGGGCGAGTCGGAGTATTTGATTTTAATATTCCCACCAGTAAATTTGCACCGTAACGACCTTTTATATTTATAGTTTCATCTACAGAAATCCTAATATTATTTTCACCAATTTTATTTTTAATTTTCTTTAAAGTATTATGGTAGCACGGCTCGAGAATTTTTACATAACGCACTTTCATCTGGTATATGTTTGCCAGTGTATTTCTCTAAAAATGTTCGAAATTGAGGAACTAGCATTTTATACCAAAGAATATTAGTTGCTACTAAGGCTAGACACAAATCTTTGTTAAAATCATTGTTGTTGTTTTCATTGGGAGTAGCTTCTGATAAAAATAATTGTTTTGATGAAATATTTAATTTACGTTTTAAACCATTTTTGTGGACAGCCGTATGAACATGTTGTGTTACCTATGATTTTTTGGTGCAAGGAATATTTCTCTCACAAACTTGACAAAAAATTGTTGCACCATCTGTCGTGAAAATCGTTTGTTGGTTATTGTACGACGAAATCCATTGAGCAAATAAACTTTTTAAATTACTTGAAGTTTTCGGCATATTTGTATGTTATAGTACGAGTGGAAAGACAATGTGTAAGCAATAATATATCGCAGTCAGATATCCACACGAGACAAGACGGACGACTAGTAGACGATGCTAGCACGTAGTCAGAAATATATTCACTAGGTGGGCCCCCTCCTCCCAGAACTTTTTTATATTATAAAAAGGTAGTTATCAGCGTATCATTACTACAAATATATATGTATATAACCTAATAATACCATATTTTATAATTTTGCTCTTCTCTTTTTAATTTTAGTTTTCCTTTGGCACATCCACTGAATGGTGCCATTTTAAAATTAATTTAAATATTAAATATATAAGATAAAATGTATAAATATTATAAATTGTACAAATATTAACGCAGGTGACGTCAGCATAAGTGCGGTGTGCGCTGAATGTGAATGTAAGTGCCCAATCGGAGACCATAATATAATTCTATACTTCTATATGAATCAATATAATGTCAGTACCCTTGCTCAAAGTATTTTAAAAATAGACATACAAGCAGTGCTTGACTTGAGGGGGGACACAGGGGGACGGAGTACCCTTTCTAATTTTTAGAAATTTTAGCGTCCCCCTACTATTAGTACATTATAATTATAACGCATAACAAGTTTTGGGGACGCAATTATTTTTAAGCAAACAGAGTCCCTCTTCTTTAATTTTGCTAAATCAAGCACTGCATACAAGTATACAGTAGTCACTGTCTAGATATGATAAGAACTTTGTAGTATAGTACCGGTACTTAGCTATAAATAGCAATTATTTCCTAATCGATCGTTTAAATTTAGTTACAAGTTACATTACTTAGATTATAATTAAAACCCGATGTATTTGGTTTTATTTGCGTCATATTTAGGCAATATTAAAAATTTGGTAAAAATTAAAAGCTATCATATAATAATGAGCCCCTCTCAATACTTTAGGTGGGCCGGCCTAAGGCCGGATACATATTAGGGTGGACCAGGCACACCCTGGCCCTCCTTTAGCTACGTGCCTGAGACGACGAATAGTAATGACAACTAACGAAATAAACGAAGTCCTATCGCAATCGATATGGAATACCTGGAGTTTCATTTTTATTAAAACCCAGAAACTCAGAAATAAATCATTTATATAGTGAACATTGTATTTATTAAAATTCTAATATAGGTGAAATAAGTTCATTATATGCTGATATTACAAAAATATTCTCAAATATTCTCTAACTCCTAAGATATGTCTTTTCATAAAAAGTAAATGTTTTCTTGTGAATTCTGTGTTTCTTTCGTAAAGATTTCTCACTACCATTTAACTGCATAGACTAGAAACAAATATGTAAAATAATAAAAATCCTACCTCTAATTATTATTATTTGCTAAATATCTCCTACATAGACATATTTTTAATAAATATGATTTTAAAATTTAAATATAAATTTCAAAGAATAAATATTTATTGCCAAATGAAAAATTATAAAAAAGAAAATGTGTTGAAAATTATAATGTGAAAAACTAGGGCTCGGGACGTTTGCCACTCACAGTTCTATTTTCAGCTTTGGAATACCTATCTTTGTTAAACCTACAATGATGCTTTGGATGGCAACGAATTATGTGACAACGTAGATAAGATAAGAATCATTTTTAATTTTAATTCTATCAAAAACGACTTTGAATACTATACAAACGCAAAAAAAAAACTGTTCACATAAGCTAAAATAATCAGAAAAACTGAAAATAAGCATTTTTTTAAAAATTACTGAAAAAAGCAAAAAAAAAAAGCACTTTCAAATTTCATAATTTTATGTGTTACACACTTCTATAGCACTTTGATACTTTTTAACTCAATCCATAAAAATAAGCAAATGCTTTAACTCCCTAGCCCTGGTAATAACATACAATAAAATAGACAATTGCCTTGAGAGGAACAATTTTTATGGTTGCATGTTTAGCAAAATATTTAAATCATGTATTAAATTTGACTTTAAATTTTTCTTAACTATAATTTTCTAATTAACTTAATTTTTTAATTTTATTTACCATATTCCATAATAACATCTTATTTTTGTAATTGATCAATTATAAAAATATTATTTGACATACCATATCAATTTTCAATTCGCAATATCTTAAACTATTTTCGGTAACCAATCTTACAATATAAATACAATAAAGAATAGGTATTCAGTATAATAATAATATAATAACTATTTTTATGTAAAAGAATTGATTATTCTAAAGCTGCATCCACACCTAACAAAAAATTAAAAAACTTTTTTGCAAACGTTTGATAAATGTTTTTCAAACGTTTGTTTGATATAAACGTGTTTCCAAACTAATTTGTTTGTCAATAATCCCAACAAAAAAAAGTTCTCTTACTAAAAGAACATTTTGCATGTATGTTTGTACTTTCATACAGATACCTGTATTTAAATAATTATAAATTATAAGGAACGAAAATAATTTTAAATGATAATATATTAGAATATGATATTATTATCATGAAGTATCAATACGTAACAGATAATAATAAAATACATTTTAATAAACAATATAATATTATAAATTCTAATTAAATTGTTTGTTATTCCAGACTATAGGGATATAATGCGATCATATCTCATTTATAAATAAATATTTTGTTATCAATATATATAATATATAATATATATTATATAATATATATAATATATATAATCACCGACAAAATATCGCCGGTAAAATAACACAACTAAAATATCGCGAAACCATTATATCTCATGGAATAAATATCGCCAGTATATATATCGTCAACATGCAATATAGCAGTTATTTAATTATAAATAAATAATATATTTTAAGCATATAGTACTGTTATATAGTAGAATTGATGTAAGTATTAAAAAATAAAATTAATATATTATATATTATATTCATTAAAATACCTTGAAGATAATCTTCAAACTATAAAAAAAAAGGTAAAAGGTGAATACGATTAGATAAGATAAAGTTAAATGCAATATATAGATACGGTGGTGTTATTTCTTTACAATATATTGGTTTCACAATATTTTAGTTGCCATATTTTAGTCAAGCTATATTTTACAGGCGATATTTTGTCGGGGTACCTTGTTTATTGGAATAACATTAAATTTACTAACCTAAATAAAAAAAAATCCGACTGCAACTTTTGGCAAACATACCTATATAACAGTGAATTATTTTATAACTCAAAATGGATTATTTAAAATCCATTTAATATCAATTGAATGAATTTTAATAAAGATAATGGTTTGAACCCTTTTTCAATTTTAGTTAAATATTGAAAGTAAAATTTAAATTTAAATTGATTAAAACATATACTTTTAAAATTAAATTGTGATTTTTTTATTTAATTAATTTTTAATATAAAAAACATAAGTAACATCTTAATTAAGACATATGTTAATTAATAACATAATATAACTGTAACATAATATTATAATAATAGTATAGTACAATATAATTAAAAATAAAGCAAACTCTGAACTTAGTTTGTATTTTAACAACATCTGTAAAAAAAAATATTAATTAATTACATAATGTATATTATAATAAATCAAAATATTTGTACTTAGTAACCCAGATGATAAATATATATATATATATATATATACAGTAAACAACTAAATTATGAACAAACATTTATTGTCATTAATAACATTTTTGACAAGCATTTAACAAATGTTCGAAACATCTTTGACAAACAATGTTTCCCCAAATGTTTTTTAGGTGTAGACACAGTTTAATAAATAAGTTATTAACATTAATTTTTCAATATAAATATAATATACAACTTAGTGTCTGTAATATTGTATAATTTTTTTAAATATTAACGAGTGAATTGAAGTTCAAAAATCATCTGGTATAAAAAATACAATTTGTATATATACTCGTATTTAAATTATTATTTGGTATTTTTTAATAAACTATTTATATATTTAATAATACTTTGTTTAATTTTTGATATATTATTAAAAACACAACATTTTATATACATAGATAATAAATTTCCACATACTGTTTCAATCTCTTCATATGAACTTAAATTGAAAATCGTTAAGAATATCAATATACCTAATGTTATATTATAAGAAAAATAATTATTTAAAAAAATGGCGCAATATTATGTTACCGTTTAACTAAACCGTGGTTTTAGTACTTTAAATTCCCTTTGCTTTTAACCGACGAGATAACCCGAGGTTAACCGAGAGTGAAAACATCGGAGTTCGGCTTTTTTGAAGGACCTGAGATGTGATTGGATCTACCATTTTGTTGATCAAACTCTGAAGTCACATGTTCGTGCTCTACGAAATTTCTTTGTGTTTTACTTCAGGTTAAGTCTGTATTAGTGGATTTTAAACAATAAGTATTATTAATTTGTGCTTCTAGAATATACACCAAATCATATTATTACTGACCGATTATTTCCTGACGATAATTATTCTCAAAACAAAATGAACGCAGATAAATTGAAAAAACTAAGCGACCAGGTGAGAATAGGCGGTAAAGGCACACCACGACGAAAGAAGAAGGTTGTACATACGACAGCGGCCACAGACGACAAAAAACTCCAAAGTACATTAAAAAAGTTAGCCGTTAATACAATACCTGGAATTGAAGAAGTAAATATGATCAAAGATGATGGTACTGTAATACACTTCAACAATCCAAAAGCACAAGCTTCGCTTGCAGCAAATACTTTTGCTATAACGGGGCATGGTGATTCAAAATCCATGTCTGAACTACTGCCTGGCATATTAAATCAGTTGGGCCATGAAGAAATTGGTCAGCTAAAACGCTATGCAAGTGGGTTCGCAAGTAACAATCTCATTGGTAAGTCATTAATTGAAGATGACGATGAGGTACCAGACTTGGTTGGAAATTTTGACGATGCCAGCAAAGAAGAAGTGGTTGCCAAGGGATCATTGGAAGAAAAGACAGACAGTACTGAGAAAGCTGTTGTCGTTGAAAATCCAGTGAGCTCAAAAAAAGAATAATTATTGGTAATCATGCATTTATTTTTAAGGTTTTCTATTATGATTGTAAATTTTAGTTGATGGCTGACTTAGAAATGTTTCCTTCAAGTTATCGACTACAATTATTTATAGCAATTAAATTCAATAAAAATAATTAACAATTATTCCTATTGTTGGTGTTTTTTTTTTGTTTTTCAAGCTTAAATAATGGTGGGTAACACTTTATTCCAAGTCATGTACTGTATAATATATTTATATTATAATTGGCACAATATTGGCCTAAGTTTAATAATTATATGTTCAAAATTGAAAATTTTTATAATCGGAGTATTATAAATTATTTTACAAATTTCAGTAGATGGAAATTACAAATACAAACACATTTAGTAAATTTCAATTTCATGTTTTGGTAGATTATATTACTGCCAGTATTATTGAAAAATACCATATGTATATTTATTGCCTTTTATTACTATACTTAATTAAATTATGAACATTTTGTTTCATTTTCTTCATTATGACAAGTTAATTAATGTAAATAGTGAAATAAGTTTCTTAATAATTTATTTTCTTATTACTTTTTGTTCTTTTTATTGATGATCAAAATTGTAATTGATTTTTAAGTTAACCTGTTATTCTTATTTGTCAAATTTAAATGAAATAATTAGGGTAAAAATATCGAAGGCATACAATAATTTAATACTATTTAAAAATTGAGAGTATTTTTTCAATCATGTTAATACTTAATACCCATATATTTTTTCAAGTCAATTTTGAATCTAGATTCTTAAATTAATTTTTTTATTTTGAAAAAATTATGGCATTATATGTCATGTATAACTATACAAAAGTTTATAATTAATGCCTAATTTTTTTTATATTTCAGAATTTTGTGGTGGCTAATACAATGTTGAGAAAATTTCTATTTTGCCGTAGTGACCGTATTCCATTACAACTTTATTACAACAACAAAACAATATTCAGCATTTCTGAGAATTAATATATCTGTAAATTTGAAAATTCTGAAGTACTTCATTTACCTGTAAATCTCTATATATATTTTGTTCGGTGTACTTTTTGCTAAGTATAAATAAAATATTATTATAATTACCTTTAATGGATTTACTATCATAATTAAAGTTTAATTTATACTAATTGACTACCCTCTTTTCTTTTATTGATCTATTTTAGATATTTGATAAGGATGTAATATCCTTTATATTAAGATTTCTAAAACCGTTGTTTGTACTCTGTGGTACTCAGTAAGCTTGTAAATGATATGCAGTGAAATTTGTTGATATAACTTTCATTGTGTTATTATTATTATCATTTAATATTATTTGGTATATTTGATATTGATGTCTTAATTTATCGGATACAACATCAACAGTATTATTAAGTGATTTAACATTATAATAAATAATTCTAAACGTATTTAATACTTACATTTTAATAATAAAAGATTCCATTAATGTAAAATTATGTATATGTTGAGAGAAGTAACAATAAATTTGGTCAAGTAGTATGTAAAATATTCATAAAGGTTGAATCGCTGTTTTGAATATTGTTTATTAATACAATTTTATAAATCATGTATAATATACGTTGTATATACTAACAAAAGTCAAATATTTTTCAAAGAAACAAATATGTGTAAATATCTAGTTTGAAGAAAATGTTTTTCTATTTAATATATATAAACCATAATTATAATTCTGAATTATAATGCAACACAGAGGTAGTAGAGGTAGTACATTGAAAAAATGTGATAAATGTGCATATAAATAAAAAAAATTGTGGTTTGAGTAATATTAAATTCCAAAAGAACTTTTCAATCTTTTGAAAACACTCTCTGGAGTACTTTGTGAAACATGATGTAGTAATTCTTTGATACCTAGAATTAAAATAAATATTAATGTATAAAATACAATTCATTCATATTTATGTTCAATTAATATAAATCATTTGAATAATTAGTTCTCAAATACGTCCATCAAATTTATTTAAAGATTATATTTTTTTATACTTACCATTGTAATTATTAGTTGTTTCTAACAAATGGGCTAAAATATTTTACATATTTAATGGGTTTTAAGACTAGAAAACAATTAAAGTTCCTTAAAGAACTACAAGTTTATGGACAATTACATAATGATAAAAATAAAACAATGTATAGTATCAAAATATTGTTAAACCTTAGGTTTTTGATGTTATAGAGATATTTTTAAATAATATAAACAGTTACTTACATAATATTTCATCGTATGAACAAAACATAACTAACATTTGTATTCTAGGTAGTTCACTTATTCCAATTAAATGATCAGTAACTTCACATCCATTTTGAATAAATTCTAATTTCAAAATTCTTATCATATCCACAAACAAATCATGATCCATTGAGTTACGTACAATAAATGGTAAACGCCTACCAGGAATTTGCTGGGAAATATATAATATTTAAATTTTCATATATATTTAGAAATTAATTTTATCTTACTCTAAAATATTGAAACAACAATTTAGAATCTTTTTGCAAATATGCCCAATCTTGTTTGAGTTGTACATATGTTTGAGGAGGAGGAGGAACAACTAAATCTTGTTTCTTTTCAGTTTGCATTAAATCTTTTTTTACTGAACTAATAACTTCTTGTTTTTTTTCACAAACTTCTTTCAATGTTGTTTGCAATAAATGCATATTATTTATTTCTTCTTGATCTTCTTGAATATCTTTAATTTTGAGTGTACAAAAAGGTTTCTGAAAATATTTATATCATACAATGTCATATCAACAAATAATTATTAACTTTAATGTATTTTACTTACTTTTGATCTTAAATGTGGAGGTTTTTGTTTGGAAGTTATTTGTTTACAACTTGGTCTTGAAGGCCAATGAGGAATAACACTTTTTATTGAGCCTTCAACATTGCTCATTAAATTATTTAAACTATTATTTTTAAGTAATATATTATTTTTAGGAATTGCATCCTATTACATAATATGAATAGTGAAATTAGTATTATAAATTAAATATATAATTAAAATTTTACACTAACTTTAATTTTGCTGTTAATAATTTCAATATCAATTTTGGCTTTTTTATTATTGGGTTCAAGTTTTAGTACAGAATCCAAATCTTTTTTTGCTTCATCGTACATTTCAAGAGCCATATAAGCTGCACTCCTTCTTTGATATGTTTTTACATAAGTACTGTCTAATTTAAGAGAAGAAGTACAATCATTAATTGTTAATTTATATCTGTAAATGAAAACAATAACAATTAAATACATGTTAACATATATTTTTTTTTAATAAACTTACTTATTTAACTTAAGATAACATAATGCTCTATTGGCATAAAATATTGGATCCTTGTCATAATATTCAATGGCTCTCGTATACCTAGTTATAGCTTCAGCCCATTTTTCTTTTTGTACTAATGCATTGCCCTATAAAAATTCAAATAAATAATAAATCAATTTTAATATAACTCTGAAAGAAATTTTATTTCCAATAAAGTTAACCATAATAAAGTTAAGGCATTGGTATCGTGGTGTGACGCTCACCTCGTAAATATTAAATATTATTTGAAAGATTGTATGAACAAAAGGTATTTTTAAAATAAAGTAGTTTTTAATTTTTATTGTTTGAAATATTTTTAATCATGAAAAATGTTTAGAATTATATTTATAAAATAATTAAATATAAATAATTTAGTATTGGTTTCAATCGTATATGCTCATTAAATAATAAATAATGATAAAAAACAATGGGATGAGGGTGATGCTCACTCAATATTGTGACGTTACATAGCAATACCAACAATGAGTTAAATAAGAATTTACTGTAAATTATAAGCTCTATATTATAGATGTATTAATTATGAAACAATAAAATGTGTACTAAATTATAAATATAAATATATAAATATGATTGATGAAAAGATTTTGTTATACATTATTACAGTTGCACAAACTAGTTGGCACTATGGGGAGTGAGAGGAGAAGAAACAAGTTTTCAATACCCACATATTATAAAAAAAATTGGTTGAAGCGTTTGCATAATATAAATTATGTAATATAAAAAATATTGTATAAGCTAATTGATATATCTGTAAATTGACCTTTAAGTATTGACCAATTGTCTACCTAACTACTAAATAAAAAGGGAAATTGTCCCCTAGATTTGTGCCTCCAATCTAGATAAATATTATAAAAAAAAGACATGTGTATTCATTATTATAACTGCCAAAGATTAATAATCATTAAACACTCCTTACTTTTTTGAGTTATTATTGCACTGAAAATGAAAGTGGTAATAAAGTCTTCTACATTTTATTATCTTCTAAAAAAGTTAAATTTTTCTTTTAAAAGTGAATTAATAAATAAAAATAAAATGAGACAGCAAATAACATAATCAAACATTAAAACATAATACAGTGGAATTTCACTATCTTGAAATTTCTGTATATCAAATATTTTATGGTCCTTTAGTTTGGGATACTGAGGTTTCACTGTAATTGTAAATTAATTTTGTTACACTATTCATAATATTAATAATACAATTTCCTTATTTTTCATCTAAATTTCCAACTATGTGGATTTAGCTACCATAGTTCTCTAACCCCAAATGTCCAAATATCTCATTTATATTCATTAGTTATATTTATTTAACATTAATTATATTTAACCATATTGTCTTTGATATATCAATATCTCTTTTTTTATTCTTTTGAAGATCATAATAGTTATGGATATCAAATTTAAGTTTTAAACATTAAATTATTGATTAAATTTCCATGAAATGTAAGTAGAATAGAAATTATATAATGAATAAACATTTTAAACAAAACAATTAGTGATAATCATTAAGACATATTACCAATTTTTTTTCATATAATGCTTCAGAGATTTTTGATTGTAATTTATTACTGACTAAATAATCACTTGAGGTATGATTATTTTTTTGTAATTCATCTTGGTTATCCAATTTTTTACCAGCATTTACCTTAAAATTAATAAACACAACTTTAACAATACATTAATGTTAAAACAAATAATTATTTAATAAAATTTATAATTCATACAATATCAAATTTGTCCCAATTTGAGTAATCACATGATAATATTTTGTTTTCACTAATTTTCGGTTTTTTTTCACCAGGGTTCTAAAATTGAATAGGTATCAATATTTAAATGAATAAAACAGTAATTAAATTTATAGCAATTACTTTAAGAGGTAAAGTAGGTTCTTTTCGTTTCATTTGATCTTTCCAAATATTCATATCACGTAGGTAATTGGATAATTCTTCTTCATTATCTTTTAGTTGTTTTTTTAATAAATAAGAATTATTCATGCCAAATAATGATCGAGTATACAATAATACAAAAAAAAATTTAATCAAAATTAAAGTTGACCATTTAACAATAAATAATAGTGACTGTTCTTTTATCAGTTTGAATTTTATCTTTAAATTTCGAGCATTAATTATTTAGTAACCACGGTTGAAAATAACAATTTTAAAAATCTCATTAGATGTATTAAAAATAATTTTAATCTCATATTTTGGTCGAACCAAATTGAACATGGCACTCCATCGACATCGCCCCATAGAACTTTTTCTAAGTACACACAGTCCTCAATATTAAAACTTTAATCTAATTCAAACTACAAATTTATATAGTATATATATTATAGATAAATTTGTGGTATTAATTCATTTTTCCCATGCACAGATGTTTTTATTATAATAAAGATATCTGTGTTCCCATGTTATTAATATTATGATAATATTAAGACTTTTATAACTTCCTTGCTTTCTAACCACGTGCTTCAATAATATTTAGTGATAAATAAATGTTTGTTATAGGTATCTGATAAAGACTCAAAGATTTTAATAAGTATCTAATTTGAACATTATCTTTTAGCCTTATTTCGTATTTATTATTAAAAGGAGAATTATTTATTAATTTATTTTATTTTACTTAAATAGTTCGTTACTACAGTAAAGTAATCATGGCTAAGTTTAGAAAAAAATTGAAGTCTAAAGGTAAACGATGGGTAAAAGGACAAAGTTCGGTCACCAATCCAGACTCAAAAAAATACCGTTCACAAGCTCAAATTAATTTTTGCAAACCTATGTTTGGTAAGTGTTTAAATTATTTTATATATAAATTTACTTAAATAGTTCCATTTTTTTTATTAGGTATTTCAAATGAAGGAAAAAGTCTATTAACTCAAAATACTTTAAAGCAACATGATAATTTAATGAACAATTATGGATCTAATAAATCTAAACAAGATGATGTTATGTCTAATATTTCAGCTTCATCATATAAAACATTTGAAACTTTTGCTTCTGATTGGAGCTCATGTACAAATCCATCTTTTAACAAGTAAGTTATTATGCATTTAAAATAAAAATCATTTTTGAAATGTAATCGTTTTTTAATCATAAAGAATCATAATTTCGAGCTATATTATAGATATATACTTCTAATAAAAATAGATTCATGGCAGTTCATTTCAGACAAATTCACTATTTATTTTTTTATTGTAGGTTGCTTAAAAATTTTAGTTCAAATTCTTTTTTACATAAAGAAATGTTAGCCATTCTTGCAGCATTAACTGAAGTAATTAAAGCTAACGGAGGAAAAGAATCATCTACTGAGTATTTCGCTTCTCTTGTAAATAGATTTAATCTTACTATCATGCTGGCTATAATTACTAATAAATGATTCTATTAAATTAGATTACTACTTTACAAACAACATTAAGCAATGGACAAGCTGATTGCGAGGATAGTGTTACAGCTATGGTTTCACTGTTAAGTATGGGAATGAAATGTGTTCCTAAAGAGGTTTTATGTTCTAAATTTGGACCTACTTCTCAAATTTTATTAGCAGCACTTGCAAAGTTTGCTGAATCTGATAATAATAACTTACTAAAATCGGTATGAGAATTTTACCTGACATACTTGTTTTTTTTTTAATACTGTTGTTTTATAGATATTTAGTTGTTTTTCTTTATTACTTCGTATTCAAGAAAAAATTGTCTGGTCCCATAGTTCTACTGTACAAGTATATGATGCAATTTTAAATTTTGTTATACATTCAAAACCTAAGGCAAGTTATCTTATTTTATAATTTAATAGTAATAACCTTTTTTTAAAAAAAAAATTATAGATTCGTAAGGCTGCTCAACATGCTATATGTGCTATACTTAAAAGTAACAATGATTCAATTCATCCAATATCTGGATATACTGCCACATATTGTACTAAAGTTTTAACATCAAGTACAACAGTTAGCAATACTACTATTCTTCATGTTTTAACATTATTAAAAGAATTGATGCCTGTATTTCCAAAAAAAGAACTTAAAGTAATGTATTTATTTACAATAATTTTACTATTTTAAACATTTATTTTTTTTTGTTAAATAATATTTTTTAACTTACAGCTTCTTTGTGAAGAAGTCTTAAAACTTATGACTTTAAATCATCCATTATTGTTGTCATGTGGTTTTCAAGTATTTCATGGTTTATTTGTATCTTATCCTTCATCAGACCTCATTCTACCATCAACCTTAAATGCTAAGTTATTGATGGCACTTTTTGACTACCGCCCTACCCCAATAGATACACAACCTACTTTAGCATGGTTAGCTGTCCAACAGGAAGCTTACATCTGTTTATCTAAGTAGTTAAAATAATATTTCTACTCATATATATATATATAATATTTATCAATATAACATTTATTTTTTGTAGAAGTGACATGTCATTATGTATTTCACATCTTAAAAGAATGTTCAAAGTTTGTATTGAACTTTGGATTAATGGAAATCCAGAATCATTAAAAGCATCAGGTACTACATTGCGTATTCTCATTGAAGAATGTATTGGACAAGCTACTGAATCAACATATCATCAAAATGTCTCCGTTTTATTCAATTTAGTGACCCAGTGCTTATCTTATCAGTATAAAAATGCTTGTCCTCAGGTTTTGCATACTTTTTCTACATTTTTTAAGGTATATTTTTAAGAAATAAATTGTTTTAAATCATTTTTCCTTTTTTGTATATACTCTTATATTATTAACAGGTTTATGGAAAATATGCTCCAAGTATATTTTTAGAATGTATAAAATCATTGGGTCAACTTAGAGATTCCAATGAAATAACATTTGTTAATGAATTAGAAATGACAATTGGAGCGGCTATCAGATATATTGGGCCTGAATATATTATAGCAGATAATGTTATTCCATTAAAGGTATAATTTTTTTTTTGAAATTCGATCATTTTAATACTTGACATTTAAACTCAAGTTAAAGATTATGTAATATATTCATTTTAAATTTAGAGTAAATTAAGCTTATTTTTATTTTTTCATAATTTGTATGTAATAGTTTAATGATTTTTGCTGCAAATAAGGGTTGTAATGCACTAGGAAGCCATTCTCACCTATAGTTGCTTATTGTATGGCACTAGGATGCCAATGATTCCAGGTTGCAGCAACCAGTAAGTGTACACTCACACAACAGCTGCCAGAGTATGATAACAAGAACGTATGTGGCCGTCGTGTGTCTACTTGTCAGTCGAAGTAGTCAGATATATTTTGTGTTTCTCACATGTACCTCCATACAGTGACCACGTTATTTTTCAAAGAATGATTGCACTGACATTCTAGTAGAATTTAAAAAACATTCTAGATTTCTTCAAGGATTATTATATAAGTTTGATACAAGTCCTTTGAGTATTGTTCAAAAAAAAAAAAAAAAGGTTGAATCCAATATTTTGTATTTGCTCTGTATTTTGTACAAAACCAAGCAGTGACAGCTTCTTCCACGTCCATTTTAATTGATTGTACACATCAAATGGAATGCTATTATGGATAGCCTGACGATCATTACTCGTCAGCTGGTTGCTTATACAAAATAACTGCTCAATATGTTGGCTGCTGCAGCCAAGCTGCCTAGTGTGTTCCTGCCCTGAGTTTAAACCATTATGAATATTATATTCTGTAAAGAACTATAAAAAAAGTTTCTATTAGTCGAAAAATTGTTGCCAACATAATGTAAAAAAAACTTGGAAAAGTGTTTTATAATATATTACTTGAAACATCACATGATAAATCATTTAATTTAAATGTTAATTAAAAATACCTTATACTAAATTTGTAATAATTTTTACCATCTTATTTTATTGACTTTTTAATTAAATTTAAAACTAAATTACTATTTTGAATATTTATATTATTTAATTTATTTAAAATGTTTTCTATGGATGAATAATTTAAAATAATTTTTAATATTCTATTATTTTTGGTTAAGATAAATATTACATTTTCTCCCTAACCATTGTAATCTATTTATATTTTTGTGTATAATTTAATTATTATTTCAGGTGGATGATGTTGGAGAGTTTAAACGTAGTTGGTTATTACCTGTTTTAAAAGATAGTATTTCACATTCTACTCTAAAATGCTTTATAGACCACTTTTTGCCTTTAGCACTTAAATGTCGGTATGTGTTAATATCTTTTTTATTATTAACCATTTTCAATACTATTTTTTATCATTATTTATTTATTTTAGTGAAATGTATGAACATGCTTTGAAAGCAAATGACAATATAACTGGTATTAGTTATAATCTTCTTGAATCACAAATTTGGTCTTTATTGACTAGTTTTTGTTCAAATCCATCAGATATATCAGTTTCATTTCGGGTAAGAAATAAAGTTAAACATTTTTTTTTTTTCAAATGTTTGTTGTTAATTTTTCTATAGTATTTTCATTCAATTTTAACAGTTATATATATATATATATATATATAACATTAATATAATACCTATAATTAATCTCTTACTCAAAACTATGATATATTTTTATGAATATTCTAGTGTATATTTAAATTTGTTATTTTTGCGCTAAATGTATTGTCTTTAAATTTTAAGATATTATCGTTATTGTTCAATTTTATTAGGTAATTACTTAATTTAATTAACTTAATTTTGTGTGTGATATATAATATATTATATAATGATATTTATATAATATATAAAATATATTAGAATAATTCAAAAATTAATTTTATATTAAATAAATTATTTTTATACTGGAAATTGGGTAGTTAATTTTTGTTATAGATAGGAATGATTTTATTTCACAATATTTGTACAAATGTTTTTTTTAGTTTTTATTTTTGAACCTTTTCAAATTATACAGATGTTTCTAAATAATTTAACAAATAGTTTTAAAATAATTATTTTTATTTAAAGTACATTAATTTAAAATTTAATAATAATCAATAAATGATAAACATTTATTATTATTTTTTTTTTTTTTTTTTAGAACATTGCCAAGACTATGGGTACTGTGTTAAGTTCACGTAAAGAATTACGAGATACAATACTTATATCTTTAAGGAAACTTGTAGATTTTGTTTCCAAAAATACAGTTTTAGATAATGATAAAATACAATTATCCCATTTTGCTAAAAACTTTTTGCCCATTTGCTTAAATTTATATACTAATCCTGCTCATGGTACGGATGAAGAAGCTACTCGTTTCTCTGCTTTAGAAACAATCAAAGTAAATAAGTTAAAATAAAATATATTATAAAAAAGCTCTATTTTATATTAATTTATAATTATAGGTGTATTTGACATTATCTGATGATGTATTAAAAGAACAGTTATTTAACAAATGTTGTAATATGCTAGAAAATTGTAAAGATTCTGAACCACTGCTACTAGAAAGCATTCTTGATATTATTCGAGTTTTAGTACCATATCAATCAGTTAAATCACTAAAAGCATTTTTTGACTCTCGAATTTCTAAAACTAAAGAAATGAAAAATTTCAAAGAAGAAAAAAAATATTTTAGGTAATATATTTAGAATATTTATTAATACCTAATATTATTTCCTGAATGTATATTATAGAATAGTATATTGTGTAGCAAGGGCTGGAAGTAAGCTATTTCAGACACGGGCAACGTGTGCGGCATGAATTGCAGGCTAAGGCCGCATATCGCTTAAGACTAAAATTGCTTTCCTGCCCAAGCCACATATATTTTTTTGTTACGTATAATAATGTATACCACCGTCCTTATAAAGCATAACATTTTGTAAGGACGGTGGTATACATTTCAATTTCTGATTGTGCTGAGAATATGCACCTAGCACTTTTGGTGCACAATTTCCACTTTACTGGACGGAAAGAGGTTGCTTTCCAGTGCTTCAACCGTGGTCGAAAACCAAACTTTTGGTGCAGGTGTAACAAAAAAAATATTATCGTTTTCCTAAAATTTAATTACCAACTGTCTACAGATTTTACATAAATTAACTTTTAAATATTTATGAAATATCATAGTTATAGACTATAATTTAAGTATAGGCAGTATTCGCTCCTTGAACTATAATTTTAATAATATGAACAAGGCTGATTTTTATAACTACATATGTTCGTTGCCTTCTAATTTTCATGTTCATGACTTGTTTGAAACTATAAACCATGTCATTTAAGATATTATTACACCTAAATAATATTCTTACTTTATCATTTATATTATCAATTATCTCTTAAATTTCAATGATCTATTCTTTGAGAATTATAATATATATTAATAATATTTTATGTTTAACTCTAGAATTTTGGAAGAAATAATTAGTAGTCAAACTCCAACGTGTAGTAAATTTGTCAATAAAAATCTAGAACATATACTAAATTTTATTGTTTCAACTGCTCAAAATGCTGCAGCTACAAGTCGTGGTGTAAATATCAACGAAGTTCTTATGTTTTATGTCAACTGATGTATTAATTACATACATTTATTTGTTTAGCCACGTTTACGTTGTTTGGCACATCTTTTAGATTATAGTAATGAAGACAATGTGATGCAGATTATATTAACACATCTACCTGAGGCTGTGCTTTGCTGTAAAGGTTCTACTGTTAATAAAAGATGCCGTGAATGTGCTTTCGCATTAATAAACAAAATGGCTTTGTTTGCCATTAAAACTGAAAATGGCTTAGAAAACTTTTTAAATGCCTTGTCTTCAGGATTAGCAGGTTCTATAACAATGATAAGTTGTACAATTTTAGCGTTGGCTTCAGTTCTTCACAATTGTAAAAGTATGTATTATCTGGTGTTCTCTGAGAATTAACTATTTTTGAAGTTTTAGATGCAATAAAAACGTTAATACCTCAACGACAAATTAGTAATTCTTATAGGGCATTCTTACTAGTTTTATTTAGCCATTAAAAATTATTTTATTTTATTTTTCTAGATGATATAAATTCCGAACAATTTGAAACAATTTTAAGTAATATTTCTTTACTTATTACAACTGGAACTAGAGAAGTGGTTAGCTCTGCTTTAAGTTTTATCAAAGTCATCATTACTTCATTTTCGAATGATCTATTTCCTCATCTTTTTACAATTGTATGTATGATTTTGATACTTGTAATATATTTGACCTAAGACTTATAATTTTATAAAATTATAGTATTATTTTTAAATTAAATTTGTTAAAAGAAAAATAATTTCATTGATATTAAATTTAATCAATTGGATTCATTTATTTTTTAATTTAGGTGAGTTCACTATCTAAAATGACAGATGATTGTAAAAGAAAATTTCGCCAAGAAACTAAAAATATTTACCAAAGATTGGTCCGTAAATTTGGTACTGATGTTATAATAAGATTTGTACCGAATACTGATATTCAAACACATGTACGCTTACGCGCTATAAAAAAAGAATCTGAAAGATTGAAGAGAAATAAAGAAAAAAGAACAAAAGATAAAATAAATGATGAAAAAGTTGTTGATTTTAATCTTAAGACTAAACCTAAAACGTATGTATTCTTTTTTTTTTATAATTCGTAATAGTATCCTTAACAATTTAATTTACACATTAGATTTGAAGAAATATTGGCTGAATGCGATGATGATGAATTAGAAATTAATTTAGATAAAAAACCCAAAGCAAAACTTGAAAAGGGAAGAAGGAAAAAGTTAGTTGAAAATTATTTACATGAAAGTGAAGATGATATTATAGATTTTACTGCACCAACTACTTGTAAAAATATTTTAAGTAAGAATTAATTTGTATGAAAAAGAAGTTAATATTTTCAATTAATATTTTTAATTTTCTGATATAGTGTCAAAACCTACTAATGAACACCATACAAATGTATCAAAGTCATCTAATGTTGATGATAGTATAAAAATTGCACCTGATGGACGCCTTATCATTGTTGATGAACCTTCAGTATTACCGCAAAAATCTGGTAATATAATAATAAGTGTTTTTACACTAGATGTAATAAGAATGTGAAAAATGCTGCAGATGTGCTATTGAAATGCTATTATTCATAAAACCAATTTGCACTACTAATTAATACAATAGCCATTTACATGTTTTAGGTTACATTGTTTTAAAACAAAATTATTATTTTTATGCATTGTTGCTTTTAATTACATTATAACAGCTTTAGGGGATTGACATCCCACCAATGTGTGTTATCTTTATCTTTCACATTTGCAACATAGTAAAAATTACTCTTTATTTCTATCATTACAGTTTATGTATTAACGCAATAAAGATTCTGAAAATGTATTTGAATTTGGCATAAAGTCTACTTGTAATCAATCTAGCCATTTTTTTTTTTTTTTAATTTAAATTTTCAAATTTCATGAATTTAATTCCAATACTATAAAAATATTTGAAAATATAATTAATTCAAAACAAAAGTTTAGAAGTATAATTTAATCTTGGTATGCTCAATATCAAGTAAGTAGACTTAATACTAAATTTGAATGTGTTTTCAGAATTGTTATCACTTATATTAACTGTAATGATAGATAAAAATTGCTGTTTTTTGCTATATGATACATATAAAAGAATTAAATAATACATCAGTATCAAATCCTGATATCTATCTTAAGTCTTTATGTAGGTTAGAATACTATTCAGTAGTAGCAGAACTATTTGTGAACCTATCAGAATTTATGAAGTCACATTCTTGTTCTGCAATAAACATATCATTTTATGATTTTAACATGTTAAACAATAAATGAGTTAATACTTTTAAATTATTTATAATTATGCATTTTATCTTTTCTGTGTACATAACTCTGCTTTCGATAAAATATTTGGGATGCTGCTTATTAGTTTTTTTATTAATTATAAATTACTATAGTTAATTAAACTGAAGTATATTTTTTACTAATTCAGTATATATATATATGTATTGCTTAATTTTTGTTAGTAATAATAGAAGAAAAAATATATATAATACCATACTTCATAATATATTCAATGATTTAATATTTGATGATTCTATTATTTGATTTATTTTTACTTTTAAATCTTGCTTTTTTTTCTTCAAATAGTTTTTAAATTATTTATATTTCATGCCATAGGAAATGAGGAAGATTTAGTCAGTAACTACAGTGATGATGATATGCCATCAAAAAAACGGTTGAAATACACACGTATGTACTATTATTAAATATATTATTATTTTCATTCCAATTTTAACCGGTAAAATAAAATGCTTTTTAAAATAATGTTTTAGCTGGAGGCAAAGGTATTCATCGACCATTAGCTAATAGTTCAGAAAGAGGAAAGGTAAATAAAAAAATGAAGAATAACAAAACACATAATGATTTTCAACAGTCAAATAAGAAAAATAAGGGAAGTAAAGGTAGTGGTATGAAAATCCGTCCATTCTCTTACACCACTTTCAAAAATTATGGAGCTACAGATAAAAAGAAAAGGAAAAGAAATTAAAATGTACTTAAATAAAGCACTTCTTTTTATTGTTTATGAGTCTATTACAAAAAATACATAAATATTTTTGGATTAATTTGTTTGATCATAACTTTTTATTGGTAAAATTCTTGATTATCAGAATCAAAATGTATTAAATCTGGATCAATGTTTAAACTCGTTATTAAATCTTTTATAGTTATATGATTAGGATTCCCATTTAATTGGTTAAACAATGACATAATAGCTTCTTGACAAACCATTAACCATTTTTTTGATAGTTTGTGTATTTCATCTAAATTGTGCTGAAAAGAATATATATAAACATAAAGTAATATTATTAAAAGTACTTGAAAAAATAGAATAAAATGTTTTTAATAATATTAAAAGTATAATAATTCTAATATGTATCCTTAAATTAATTTAATGTTAATCCTCTATCGAACGAGCAAAACACAATTTGCTATCTAACTAGAAATTTAATTGAAATCATTCAATAATTAATCATATAATATGAACATTCACTTCATAAACAGAAATGTTATCATGTTATATTTATTCTATTTACAAATGATCTGTAAATTTATCTATTTCTCTTGTATTCTCTTAAAATCCATTTCCATGTCATTCTTGCATTCCTTAATAATAAATTACAATCTTATATTCATGACTCAATTTATTCATGTATACTGTGAGTCATCTTTTTTCAAATGCCACATTCTACGGTTACCATTTATTTTTTACTCATCTCTTCAACTACTAACTGGCACTACATCATCTACAACAATGCACCATAATTTCATTAACTAATTACCTATATACTTACAGCTATGGTCTTATTAAACTACCATTCAGCTGATCTTAAACTTGTTATAGATATACATATATATAGGTCCTTACAATTATCATTACATGGGTATATTACACATAATAAATAAATATTATAATAGAATAACTCTTATATAATCATTATAAATAGGTACCAGTAGTACGGTTGCTATGGCTAAAGGATTATGGGCTTTTTCAAACAATAATGTATAAACTCAAATCATATAATAGAATATAAGATATGTGAAAAGTGGTTCTGAGAAATACAGAATTCGCGAGGCCAACCAATTATATAATAAGTAAGCCAGGGTTGGACGTACAGTAATATTTAAAATACAATTTAAAACTCCTTATAGGGAATATAGATATCATTAGCTAAATATTATTATTGATGGGATGGTTATAAGAAACGAAACAATCTAAATGTTATAACGAGTACAGGGAGTTCACACAAAACTGGGTTTTAGACACAGAATATTTAACATTAACATAAATTACACCATATCCAGGTCAGGTATGTTAATCTCTTGAAAGAATCACAACATTTTACACAGGAACAAGGTATATAAGGTAGTCCCGAACAAACTATTCTTTAAAAGTATTATAGTCCGATCGTACCATGCACCTTCACCTTGTAATTTCTTAAAAAAATAATTAAATGATTTATACTTAGAATATTTATAATAAATAAAATTTAACTTAAATTGAGTAATAATTTGAAATATCCTAATACGCATGTAATGTTAAACCTGTTGAATGAACAGCATGCAACTTTTCTAAGAACTCCAAATTATATAAAATTCAAATGAAAACAGTTAAACTGATATTTTATAAAACTTTTCTATAGGTAATCTATTTTATGCAAATTAAAAGTTAAATATTACATTATTAATAGGGTTATGTTGAAATGTTAAGAAAGATATAATTATAAATCTAAAATATACTTTGTTTTGCTTAGCTTAGCTATATTTAGAAGTTATAATAGCATTGAGATCAAAGTAGATAATATATTGTAAATATGAATTTATCATTAACAAAATATTCCATACCTGTTCACTATTTTTGATTTCAGACTTCAAGTTTTCAATTTTACGTTGTTTTTCTAATACACTTATATGTTTCATATCTCTTTTATAACTAGTTATTGAATTTGATTTATCTTTTGTTTTAGTTTTAATTGACTTCACATCTTCATCAAATTGTATACATTTCCTTGTTTCATTTAATAACTTTGTTTTCTTCAATTCATTTTTATAAGATGGTGTACTACTTGACTTCCTCTTGAGCCCTATAGTGCGACATGGTGTAAATGTTTTGCAAGTGGTATTTGACAGTTTACATAAAATAGGTGATGGAATAGAATTAATATCAGACATTGTAGACTTTCTTAATGCAAGTATTAGTTTGTTGAAATCTTTATGATAAAAAAAAAAAAAAAAAAAAAACTAAAAATTTAATAGAATAAATATAAATGAATAATAAACATAAGTATATAGTATTTATATTATAGACCAGATTTTTAAAAATAATATATATAATAGTAGTATATATTATAATAATATTATATATTATTCAACATTTACTATACTATAAACTTATACTAATTCTTAATTATACATGCAATTTAAATAAATGATGAAAATATTACATATTTTTATTTTCTACAAGGATTCATGTAAGATTTGATTGTTTAATTGAAAATACAGAATTTTGGACATTAGATACTTGGTATGAAATATTAAAGAGATAAAAATATTAAATATACCATATTATCATTAAATGCTTAAATATAATTGTTCTTTTTTTTATCAAAATATAAAATACCTTAAATCGTATTGATTTATTCATTTTATTTTTCGTATATTTTCATTACATAATAATAATTAAATTAAAACTTTTAAATTAATAAAACTTTTTTTACTTGATATCAACGGATAATATTAGCTATATAGTTCGGTGATAAGAACAATCGAGGGAAAATAATTGAGTAACTTGAAAATAAGAAAAATTAGTCGAATGATAATGGTAGGGTGGGCAATTATTATTGAGAACATGCGTGACTCGTTCCCCAACAATTTATAATAAAAAATTTAGTCGGAACTTGTAAAATAATGACACAACTATATTAACACAGTATATATAAAAATAATTACGAAACGCGTACGCGTATGCGAGTTTATAAAAAAAATACTCACGCGTGACGACGACAAAGGACGAGGCGTTAAAATGAATCGTTCGCGATCAGCGTCGAGAACCCAAGCATAAACTTGTCTATGAACACAAGGTCCGTCGTGGTCCGACTTGCCGGGCGAAAAATAGCCAATCGCGTGGGAAAAACCGGGCGATAACAAAAGTCTTGGCGTGCGACATGAAAGACAGCTTTTCCGTGCGACGCGGACAACACTCAGTAAAAGAGTCGTATCGGGTGTAGCGAAACCACTGGCGAGGTAAGAAGCGGGGGATGGCGGAAATCTCTTCGTGCTACGCGAGAGACAGTCGGAAGTCTAATGAGGGCAAACTATTATTTCATGAACCTTCATCAAGTACTGTGTACCATAAAATGCATACACATCCGTACGTGCATAGTATACCTATCATACTCTGCCGCAATATTTTTAATATTCGCGTTCCGCGCATACCGAGCTAAAATATATAGTTACTGTTAGCCTAATTTTCTTCACCAACATGTAAATTATAAAATCATTATTATAATATATTTTAAACCATGTTTAACACATTTTTACTTATTAAGTTATAAATCAGACATTCCGAATGAAAGAAAAAATATCTATTTTCTGATGATTTAATGCTTACAGAACACAGTGGCGAATTTAAGGTCGATTCCCACTTGTCCGGACCGGGTTCGAGCTTGGTTCGTGACATGTAACGGCACGTCCGGGTTGACTCGGATCAAGCATTCACACTCGTCCGGGCCCCGTCCGAGGTAACAATTTTGTTATATTTACAACTCACAATTTTACTTCAGTCATCAGTCTCGATCGAATGAAAAACCACGTGACTAACTGACAGAACATAGCATATTTTTACATCAATTTATAAGAATATTTTACATACGATTTTCACAAACTTCTTATATACTTATATACTGAAGAAAAAAAAAATAAAACGTTACCGCCATTTGTAGTTAAAAACCTGTAAAAGTATAAACTATACAAACTATAAATATTTTTGCCACCGTCAAAAGTTCATTAGAAAACGCGATTTATTAATTTATGAACAACCATCGTTTTACATTCTTATCTATAATTCGTATAACTATTTTAGTTACTAATGCCCAAATAATTTAAATAATTTAAAAAATTTTGGATTCTAAAAATATTTTAAATTGATTATATTACATTGATAAAGAACAAGGTTGTACTTAAATTATACGGTTGATTCTAAAGTCACCTGAATAACCCTGATGAATAAAAATAATGTGTAAAACACTCACTTTTTGGGTTTATTGTACCAAGGACGTATCTAGACTTATTTCTTGGGGGGGGGGGGGCTAAAATTTTTTCTTTAATTCATGCTCAACATTTACAAGTCAAATTTTGGTAATATTTTAATCGGGTGAATCCTTAATATTTGTGGTTTTTTTTTTTTTAATCTAATGTCGGATCCACTTAGAATCGACTTTTATGTAGTTATTTTTTAACATCTGTCTGTGTTTTGAAAGTTACGCTTGTGTTATATTTGATTTCTCATTAAGTTTGGACCCGACAAAAAACCCAATTCAGTATTCACAGCCATGCGTAATTTGATTTCGTTATAAAATGATCCACATTAAAAAAATTTGTAATGTGTATCTTATGTTGCATGCCGGTAATGGGTACCGGACAGTGCAACGAGAGATGAGTACACTCAATTGTTCAGCTTCGTAATCAATGTAGAACAATAATAATGTTGAAATAAATAACTCAAGACTTTAAAATATTAACTTTATTGAAATATTCTAAGTCCAATTTATTCAATTTGTAAAATTATTCTAAGTCCGAATAATTAATTTATAAAACAAACTGACGTGAAGGTGCGTGCATTAATAAGACTAAAACACATCTGAATTAGGGCCTATTCAGGGCCCCCTTTTATATCTGATATATGCAAGTGTGTGTGTGTGTGTATATGAAAATGATAATAAAATATGATAATTCCTTATTGATTCTGCGTGTGTGTGAGATCTCTCGTCTGGTACATAATTACTGACGCAGAGATACAGGATGTAATCACTACCGTTTCGATTATTCATTAGTTATCTTAATTTCCCGTATAATGATCATGTGAACTAATTAATAATTTAATTTATCCACGAGTGTGGTTTTGATTTTACATATAGATATGCCCGCTATAGTGGAATCATTGTGTTATTGTAATGCAATCGATATAGTATTTATATATATATATATATATATATATATCTGTAACATTATGTGATAAAATGTATGCCCGTCACATTATAATATGTATGCACATAACATTGTATATTTGTATGCAGTGGCTTATCCAGGGGGGAGGGTTAGGGGGTTATACCCCCCCCCGAAAATGTTTAGTGTATGTATATTGTTTATTGATTATAATAAAAACACACAAAATTCAAAAAAAATTTAATGTTCCATTTTTTATAACCCCCCAAAAAAATTCTGGATACGACACTGTTTGTATGTAACGAAAATTGACAAATATTAAAAATTGTTAAAGATATTCCTGTATAATCAATTACTCATTATCATTTTTTTAAAGAAATAAAATTCAGTTATCGGTAATAAATATTATAAGGATTAAGGGCCCTTTGGACTACTAGGCTCCAGGCCCGATAAACTCTTAATCCGGTCCTGAATGCCTCATTACCAGTGACAGTTCTTTGAATTTTTTCTGAAGGGGGTCCTTTTATATTATTTTATTATATATTGTAATAAACCAAAAGAAATGAGTTGGAATACCGGGGTAAAATCTTAGTTTGATCGAAAGGAAAATGTATTGTGAACGGTATTGGAAGTACAACGTCTTTTGGCAGCTAATTTTTTGGTACCTATCCTACTTTATTTGGTATATCACCTCATAATAAAATACTAATCCAGAATGTTATGATTAGGAACTTAGAGTAAATATTGGAGATCAGGATTTAGCCTGCAGTGTCTTAACCCAATGTTCTTTAAATGTTAAGGTTCGTATTTTATAATGGTTAGAGCTTTAGGGGAAGCGGGATCAACTCAAAGACACTTATGTGAAGCTGATGATATGAGTGATCGGGAATTATATGTCTTTGGCAGATTATTTATATGTATATATTCAGGGCCCGTATTTAAGATTTCTCCGTCCAGGGCAGTGGCGGATTCAGGAGAGGAGCACAAAGGCACGTGCTCTCCTGTACATTTTCTATCGACAATTTTTTTACGTTACTATGAGTATCATTTAAATGAAAAATAAATAGATAAGACCTGTTATGTATTACCAATATGAATAATAACATAAATGATTTTAGAAACCTTTATTGTCAAACGTGTAAATCGTAATGAATTACATTAAAATTGTCTACTCGCTAATAAACCGATGGACAGTCCCCATCGATAATAATATGATACTTATTATTATTGTTGATATAAACATAACGTATATAATATGTATACAATATAAAATGCTGAATATGCAACAAGAATAATCATAGGCGTGCGCAGACTTTGTCCGCAGGGGGGCCCCTTAAAAAAGTGAACCAAAGATTCTTGTACTAAAGACTACTAGTATAATTAAATATTTTAAATTTAATAAATTATTTATTTAATTCAATATGCAAATATAAAAATAAATACTATTTAAACTTCCACAATTTATACCTAAGAAATCCTTATTTACATATTATTATACTATTTACAACTCCATTCTTCTGTCCACGGGAGTAAGGTTTTTGAATGTATCAATTACATCTACAATTTTTATATTATATGCAAGTTCTGATTAATAACTAATAACTTTATTACATTTATTCACAGATATCAATTCTATACTATAAGATTAAAAAGGGCTTCACTTTATTCATGTAAAATGTAAAAATGTTCGCTATCTTGCATAGTATAGATATACATTTATTAAAGAAAAAGCCAGTCCGCAGGGGGGGCCGCGGCCCACCCGGCCACCCCCGTGCGCACGCCTGTGAGAATAATACTACATACTAGTGTAATAATTATTTAAATTTAAACTGGATATATATGTTTCTTAAAAAAACATAAACGAAGACTTCAATTCAACCTATAAGGATATTTTTATTTATTGATGACTACGTTTATGAATAATAACTTGCCTATATGTATAAATAAATAACCAAATCCAAAATTATAACTGAGTTATAATTATATAAATAAAGTTATAGAAAATTATCTTTTATAAGACTGATGATGGTGTCATTAAATAATTTAGTCAATAAACCTACCTTTCAGTTTCAATGTCTCATCCCCATACAAATCAAGATTTAACCAATACCTATACCTTAATAAAATACCATGTCAAACAAAATACTCACATTTTATACGGTACTAAATAATATAAATTATTTTATAGTATAGTATATTATTTTATAATAGTATATGTAATTAAATTTATTCAAAAATAATTTCCCATTGAAAACGCCAAAAAAATCGATTAGGTTTTATTTAGAATTACCGTACAAATATTTCCGCCGCCTTAAATATTTCAAAGGGGGCTATTGCCACCCCGGACCACCCCTTAAATGTGGCCTTGAATTGTAATCATATTGTATACTAAAATAGGTAACGGTCCAATATGCGACCTATAAATGTTACTCGACCTACCAATAAGATTGTTGATCTACATGTTTCGTTACCACGGTTAATGTCGTTTTGGGCATTTTATTCTATTTATGGGAATATTATTTATGTATTTTGGAACCGAGAAACTCTTTTAAAAGTTATTAAAAATAAAATAAAAACTGGAATAATAATTTATGGTGACCAATGGAAAGCGTAATCAACATTAAATCATCATGGATATATTCATTAAACAGTTAACCATTTAGAATTTTTATTGACCTGGAAACAAGAGCACACACTCAACAAATTGAAGGCTTATGGAGAATTACAAAATCCAATTATATCTATTTTTAATTTTAATTTTTATAAACGCTTGTTAGATTTTTTTTTTTAATTTTAAACTGTATCTACATTATATTGTAAATCATAAATACATTTTTTAGTATGGGTACTAATATTGTCGTACCCATATTGATATGCATTATTTATTTGGTATTTTAATTTTAAAATTTGTATGCATTCTATACAGCAGTCACCTGAAAGGTATTAAACTTCTGTTACCGGTCATCTCTAAATAGCAGTTATTATTTCCGGTCCCTTCGATGACTATTGTATAGATGTTCTATAATATGATAAAAAGTATGAATTAATAATTAAATTGGTCTACTATTATTATAAATATACATAAAGAGTTATTTACAACCAAATTCTATAAATTAATGTTCTCTTTTTTTGTACCTTTGTAGCAAATTATTTATAACTTTTGAACCTTTTTTTTCTTCTTGGAAGAGTTGAAATCCATAGAGAACCACCTCTAATATCCTCAATATCCAAAATCTATATTGTGTTTTAAAATGAAAATATTTATATGCAATATATTCAAATACTAGGTATGTATTCTATTTTAAATTTTTCAACTAAACTTATAACAAAATAAGCAAAGTAATTATTAATTAATTTGTATTTTCATTTGTGTATATTATGTTTTTAAATAATTTAGATAAATCAACAAAAAACAAATTCATCACATTTTTTTATTAAAAAATTTATACATCATTAAAATCTGATTATAAAATATAAACCATGGTATTTTAATTATCTTATCCCATTTGATAATACATATTGTAAAATAAAATGTCTTATCTTAGTTTTAAAAATATATACAAAATAAAAAATACTGCAACACTAAATAAAATTAGATATAGCATGTTATAACCACCACTATGTCTACTAAGCCTAGTAACTCGACCAAGTGTGTTACTTAAAAATCCTCCAGTTGTTTCGAAATCATGATCCATATCTCTTAACAATCGATCTTGGTATTTTACTTCTGCACCAATATCAATAGAGAGAGACTTCAAGGTATTTACTTTATCTTTCAACTGTTCTGTTAAATCATCATTTTCAGTTTCAATGAACTCATTCCCAAATGAACCATTTGAAGGCAATGGGTCATAATAGTTTCCTCCGTGAGCTCTACGCATTATGTTGTCTGAAAATACAAATCATAAATTTAATCATTTCTGGGATTTTATTTATGATAGTTAAATAATAACTTACCTTTATAATCCATCAACTGAATAAATAATTATATTTTACCTCTTCATTTTAAAAACCACATTCCTATATACCTATTAAAATTATTTTAAGTGATGAAATATTATTTTATACTTTATCTTATCAATATGCCTCGTTGTCCAATGATAACAAATTTTATCATTACATATTCAGTATTCACTTTCAAAGTAGACATTAGACAATGTTCCTTATTATCACAGAATAGTATATATCTATAGCTATTATGTACGCTTGATTTCTAAAAATTTTAATGAATAATCACAGATTAAATAAGTTTTATTTAATATGTGGTTATATTATTGTAATTTTTAGTTATTATTTTATTGTTATTCGGTCACATTTATACTATTTTGTTAAATTAGATTCTTTTTCAATTTTGATAATGAAATGTGATATTATTCCAAGTAATCTTTTTAATTATAATTAAAACCACACTTTTCAATAGTAATTTCTTTATTAAGCATTGCCAGATTATTCTTTATTTAGTAAGTGCATATAAATATATAATTTTGATTTATACTTAAAATTGGTTTTCCTAATAAATTATTACTCTTTTAAAATTTGTTTTATTTCATAAATATAAGGACAATCTAGTATAATGTTTCGCAATGGTAAATTTTCTGAAACAACACCTGCAAAACAGTCACGTAGTGAACGTTTTCAAGAAATGTCTAAGCAACAGCAATTAATTGAGCAAAAAAAACGTGAGATTCAAGCAAAGTTTGAAGAAAAAAAAAAGAAAGCAGTTGAAATAATCGAGGAAAATAAAAACCGAAAACCAATAGCTATTACTAAAAATGCAATTAAATTGGACAAGATTAAGTCATTTTATCAAAAATCAAAGAGTTTAAAAAAGTAAATTACATTTTTATAAGATTTGTTCTTTGTTAAATAAATATTTAAATAAATGTATACAATTGGATAGGAACGAAACTATAGTCAAAAATGTTAATGAAGAACTACCATATGAGTCAACAGGGGCCCATAAGAATAAATCTAATGTAGAAGATATTTTTGAGAAAGTGGATATTACTGGTAATGTTGTTGGGTTTTATATTTCAAAACTGGGTATTGATCAGTTTTTTTTTTTTTTTAATCTAATTGTCACTTTACTAATTATCACCTATATTATAGAAATAACTATTATAAATAATTATGATAACTGAAATGTTTCTGGGATAATATCTTTAAAATATTTTAATAAAATAAAACATAAAAATAGCAATAACAAAGGTGTTATTGATGATTCAACAACCTTTTTACTTTTTAATTATGATAATATTTTAATTTAAATATAATGTCCATATTTATTTGGAGACTTTGTATTTGATTGTATATATTATTTTTTCATTAGATTTAATAATTCCATTTGCAATATTTAAAAAAATATTTTATTGAATTATTTATTTATGTTATCATAGATACAATACATTCTAAAAGAGATGCTGAGCCAGAAACTGAACGTGGACCAAAATTAGGTATTTTAATATATAATAAAATCTATGTATATATTGAATCTACAATAGTTTAACATTTATAATATAGCAATTAAAATAACATCTGAGTACTAATGTATAATGTAATATAATACGTTTATTTTGAAAATTAACAATGAATATGTAGAAGTATAGAAAGAAGTACGGTTTTTATCTAAAAAAAAAAAAATGAGACAGTTGAAACGCATAATAAGTATATTTAAGAATAAGTAAATAGTATAATTTACATAAAATACTAGGTATGTAAAAATAAAACATAATATACGATATAATTAAGGACTAATACTATTTTTTGTTATTATAATTCATAAATAATTTACATGGATTAAAGAATAAAAGTAATTAATCAACTGAATATTTTTAATATATTTTTTTATATATTTGTACTCTTAGTAATTAATATAAGTGATCATACATTAAATGCGTTGAATTTAACAATTAATATGAATCAATTTTTATACATTAATTTAATTTTTTAATTAATTTGTAAATTAATATATATATTATATTAATGGTTATTTTAATTCAATAATATGTAATATATATATATATAATAATGGTTTTCTAGAGTCTAGTTATTGTCAAGAAGCATACAAAGAAGCTAAACCCTTTATTCCAGATCATCAATTTATCGGTTATATTAATCAATCATACCAACAACCTAATTACTATAATTCTCCATCAGTTCAAGTAACTTCCATTCAACCTCAACCTCAAACATCTGTGGTTCAAGTTCCTACTGTTTCTATTGTTACTACACATCCGATTCTACAATTATCACAACCAACATCAATGTATCAGGCACAAAATTCAGTCTTTTTATCACAAAATAATTCAAAAGTAAAAATTTTAAACATTTCTTCTCTAGCCTTATACCATTTATAAGCTTACTTAAAATTTTATTACAGATTTCAATTCCTCATGGCACTTATCAACAATATCCATTGCAAACTCCTCCACTGACTGCTACAATAGTTACAGATACTACAACAACTACAACTGTGCCTCGTAATGCTGATGAACAACCATCACTCATTGTTACTGAAACTTCAACTGTATCTTTGGGACCTACTCCAGATGCAGCACATCTTTTAAATGCACCACCACAGACAATTGAAACTTACACTCCGGTTCCGAGAGGTACTGTTCAGAAAAATTGTAGATTTTGTAAAAAAAAAATCAATGTATTTATAACTTATTATATAAATTGGGTTATTTGTGGGAATGAGGGAGAGAGGGGGGGTTTGCGTTTTAATCGCATTTTGAGCTGATTCGGAGTTGTCTAGCTTTGAATACAGTGATGAGGTGTGAACCACAAGCTGTACTTGAAAATCAAGATGTTGAAAGTCTAGCTGCTACTGTTGCTGAATATGGTGATGAAATAGAAAATATTATATTACAAGAACGACCCCAAGATGTAAATTTATTGTATGTATAACTTTTTTTTAATAAATTATATTGTTTGTTAATTAATATATAATTTAGATTTTTGAGAGATAAAACTTCTCCTGCATATACAATTTTTCGTCAAAGAGTAGGATACTTAAAGGCAAAAACTATTGCTAACAAACTAACACCAACTGATATAAAATCTCAAACTTCGTTAAATGAAGTATCAGCTGCAGACTCAGAAAATGAAGATGTAACTAACAAAAAACGTAAGCGTAAAAGTCGTTGGGCAAATGATAATGTTAAAGTTCCAGTTATTTCACCGATTGATGTTATTAATCCTGTTATGACTGGACAACCAATTCCCCAACCAATTAATACTCAAAAACTTGGTAATTATAAATTTTTAAATTTTTTGTGTACATAACTAATTTTTTAACTGTTTCAAGTCGGTATTCCTGGTATGTCCGGTCCTATGATTAGTCAAGTTGGACGCAATGATCCTGCTTTAGTTCAGTATGCCATGCAATCATTTGGAACTCTCAATTTATCAGAAGAAGATTGGAAAAAAGCTGAAGATCATTATAAAGTATAAATTAAATTAATTAAAATAATATTGCATATAATGTTGAAAGTAAATTATTGATGGATTATTTTAATTATAGATTAATTTGTTGTACCAAGATATGTTAAAAAAACGTCAACAATTGGAAAGTCTACAAAAAGCTGGGAAATTCAAGTACGAATATGATAGTGATGAAGATACTGAAGGTGGAACTTGGGAGCATAAGTTAAGAAGAGATGAAATGGTAGCTACAGAAAGATGGGCTGAAGAGTTAACTGAAAAATCTAAAGATAAACATCATATAGGAGATTTTTTACCTCCTGATGAACTTGCTAGATTTATGGAAAAAGTATTTAATTAATATTAATTGTTAATAGACTTTATCATTCCATTTATTCATTTTTTTTTTTTTTTAGTATTCTGCTTTAAAAGAAGATCGCGAGCCTGATTTGTCTGATTACAAAGAATTTAAACTGAAAGAAGATAACATAGGTTTTCAGATGTTACAAAAACTTGGATGGTCTGAAGGCCAAGGTTTAGGATCTAGTGGTACTGGTATTGTCGAACCAGTTAATAAGTAATTGATTCATTATTATTATTTTTTAGTTGTGTTATATTATCTGTTTAAGTTATTTTATTTATTGCATTTAATATCTATTATTAAAATTTAATTTATTTTAGTCATGTTTTTTTTATTGTTTATTACTTTATTTTTATATTTATGCTTTTTATTTCCATAGAGGTGGATCTCATAATGAAAATCATGGACTTGGGGTTGATAGGCCATCAGAATTAAGACAAAATGATGATGAATTTGATGCTTATCGGAAGCGAATGATGTTGGCGTATCGTTTTCGTCCTAATCCTTTGGTAAAATGTATTTTAAATTTAAATAGTTTTATGATTAATTTATTGTACAGTAAAATTATAAGTGATAATGAAAGTTCAAAACATTTAAAGTTATATTCAAAGTTTTTATACAATTGCATTTAAATAAATGTCAAATATACTACTAAGTATTCATATACTCAAGGTCAGCATTTTTCAACCTGGTGTCGCATTAGTAAGAAATAATTAAATTCTGATGTAGAAAAACAACATTTTATTTACATATTTAACTACTAATATATTTTGTAACTGGTAACATAGATAAAACTTAAATTCATTTTTATCATTAGGAGGGTTGAAGTGTTACTGATTTTTTTCCCTATTTTGTTTTAACTTGAGAAACGCTGCTCTAGGTAGTCTATATAATTTTTTTTTTATATTATTACCTATTGAACATTTAATTGACATTTAACATTTAACTTGGTGCTATATATTTCATCTGTTGTATGTTTATTATTAAGTATAGTTAAAGTTGTCTTATAAATATTTTGTTTCATTATCAGATTATCTTTGAGTCTATTTTATAGGTTAATGCTGTATAGTTAAGACTCTTTAATGGAGTTAAAGATATTTGATATTTTCCACTATTATTTAACTTTTTATTATGACCTTATACATCAAAATATATCTCTTAATTAATCTTGGACTTAAGATTTAACTAGTAAAATGTTTTCTAATATATCTTCTAATGTTTTATTGTAAAATAGTTAAATCTATTGCTTGGTTTAATATTAAAATTTAAATTTAAAATTAATTCAATTCTTCATTAAGTTATAAATTTATTTTTTAAATTTATTATATTTGGTATACATACTTAAATACTATATATACTATATGTGGTACAATTATTTCTAAAATGTCCTTGTACTAATACATTTAAATTCTTATAAGATGATTGTAACACATAAGTATTGCAATAAGTATTAGTTTTATTATTTAATATTCTCATGAAACAAATGGTACATAAATATATACAGTATTTTAGTTTTAACAAGTAATATCTGTAATATATTTATAATAAATGCTAAGCAAAATCCCATTCTAATTGAATTTGTATTGTTTCAGAATAATCCTAGAAGACCTTACTATTAAAGCATTTTATATTTTAAGCATTAACATTCAAATTTGAAATTTGTATTAATTATAAAATTATGTATTTTTATTGTTGTACTGGTTTTATTGTAAAAAAATTAACATTTCTGGTACTTAAATATTTTGGAATTAATTTTACTATATCTTATATTTATACATGTATAGTTAAAACAATTATATGCAAGGTCATCTCAAATATAGTGTATTAAATAATTGTTTTACAATGTTTCACTAAAATGTATAATAATATGAAATATAAAAATAATTATTTAACTTATTTTATTAAAAGATGTTTATTTTTAAGACAATTTTATTATCTTTATTATTCTTATGTGAGGAGACGAGAACCTAAAAGATGCCTACTCAAAATGCCATCAAATAGATAACCACCAACCGGACTTCTAAGGCTTAGTCATACTCCATAAATTATTTCTTATTTTATTGAGTAAAATACACTTAATTGAAAATACTTTCACTTTAAATTATTGCTATTTCCTTAAAACTAAATGCATTTTTTTTTTTTTTTTGTTAACTTTAATTTGTAATTTAAAAAAAATATTTGACTTGACTATCAATTTTTATTATGTTAAAATAATTTTCAATGCTAAAACATTATACAAAATTATGTGTAATTTAGTGTGTTCAGTACTGGTTGAGGTATAGTACAATAAATAACTAAACACTTATCTTATTAGTTATTATAATTTATTTTATTATGATACAGTTGTACAGAGATGTATAGAAATTTATTTTGATATGGTATTCTGATGAATCATTTATACTACTGTATCTAATATATCAATGGGCCTCGCTATGTTTAAATAAAAATAATACATTTTAAAAATGAAGGATGAAGGCTACTATAATCATTATCGAATTTTCTAATAGCCACATTACTTTGAATCCGTTGTAAAAAAAGTAAAGAACTTTGTATTGTTATACAATTTGAAAAAAATATTCCTAAGTATTTAACTTAAATAATTTAAGTACTATTTAGAAATCAATGCATAAGTATACTATGCACGATGCACCTCAGTCAAAAAATTTCTGGCGGTGTCTTTGAGTATTTCTGTCTTAATGCCATTTAGGAACATTAAGAGCTAATAGGAATAATTGATGACATTTCTTGAATGACTAATAAGGTAAACATAAAAACATGATCTTTATCTATTGTTAAATAGGGAATGGGATTTAAAATATTTACCATGCACCATCAATGGGTTAAATCAACCTAATCGATAATCGATTACGACGAAAATTTGATCACACCGTAATTTTCGATTTTCTAATTAGAACTGCTTAAGTAGACACTCATCAAATTTTAAAATTTTATTTTTAATGTGATAAAAATAAAATAATATTTTGTAACCTACTTTGCTAACTGTTAAAAATTAATTAAATTATTAAATTAGGAGTGTTGGTGAGATAATTTTATTCTTTTTTGTCTTTGAAATTGTATAATGTTTTATCTCTCATAATATAGGACGGAAACGAATATTATAAAGTGGAAATCATAATATTAATAAAGGCCACATTGGCCTTGTGACATGTACAAATATAAAATTATCACTAGGTACCTACTGTGTAAAAAAAAAAAATAAAAAGTGATAATTGATTATTTAATATTTCTCCTGAATAAATAAACATTAACATTACTCATATAACAAGTATAACATTTCGTTTTTATTACATCGTAATTCAAAGGTTCTCAACCTTTTTTTGTTCACGACATCATTTACATCACAAGTTTTTGTGGCACACTCATACACTTGACAACAACAAAAACTTTGGTTAAGCGCTAAGATATCCAGTTGGGTTAATATCGTACAGTTTCATTACATATGTATCGTATTATCTGCACAATTAATTGACATTTAATTGTCATAGTTTTATTAATCGGTATTTTCAAATATCAGACATTTTTCACGGCACAATAGTGTGCCGCGACACACCAGTTGAGAACCACTGACGTAATTGGACGATGATAATTTTATTTATATCAATGTGTGCAAAATATTACAAATACAAATTATTATATTTAACTGTTACCGTCAACACGTTGTTGATGTTGGACCTATACATTTTAATTTCTTAATTTTAGCCCGGCAGCACACCTCTGTCACCCGAAGCACTGCTTAACAGAATTTTCAAGTGTATTGACAAGATTTTGAAATAAAAAAAAAGGCCAGCCGTTCACAAAAAGAGCAAAATTGATTAAAGCTGATTGAGTCAAATTTCCTAAATAATCGGCTTTAAAATCAGTCATAATAAAGCTGTAATCTAAATCTAGTAAATTAATATTTTTCCATGATTAAGACTGACATGATTTCATGGAACGAAACCGTCTTGTGACTGATGTGCGAAAACCTTTAATGTGGCATAATATTGTTTTTTTTGAAGGTGTACAGTGTTCGAACAAAACCGAATCACATGCGTTATGAATTCATATAAATATGAGTGAAGTTAGCCCCCTCTCCCAATGTAAAAAACATTTTCCAAAACGATTTTAACCTTATTTTCCAAATTTGTAACCATTTGTAATTAAGTTTTTAGAATTTGGAATTTCTGCCCACGAAATGGGCAGTGTGTCTTTGAGGGACTAACTTTACGCAGTCCCCCAACTCAACGAAATTGTCCGAAAAATAGTTTTTGACTTACAAAATTATTTTTGTAATAAATAAATTAAGATTTTTTTTTTTGTATATTTAGATTTTTTATTTTCATAAATTTTTTTATTTTTATACTCGTATATTTGTTTTATTCGACTAGACTAAAATCTTAAATTAATAAAAACTTCATAATGAATAAAAGAAATCTAAATATAAAAAAATATCTTCATTTAATAAATAAAATATACGTATAAAAAAAAATTTTAATTGAATAAAAATTCCATACCAAATTTTGAAATTTGTCCGAAGTCGATTGGGTCAAACTTCAAGAACGTGTTACAAATTGTTTTAAACGATTTGAGTTGAGTTGAGTTGAGTGGTACTATAAATTACAACTTTTACTATTTTATTGAATTACCCTCATATACAATCGATCAGTACTCAAAATTGATAAGGTTACAAATTCTAAAAAGTTAATTAAGATTAGTTACAAATTGAGTTTTGTAAGTTACAAACTATTTTGGAAGATTTATTTCAGTTAAGAGGCCAGCCACTCATTGAAAAATTTGAAATTTCTCAGAAGGGCTGAGGTTATAAATTTTAAAAAGTTTGTTACAAATAATTTCAAATTGAGTTTTGTAAGTCACAATCGGTTTTGGATGATTTTGTTGAGTTGGGGGTTTCGTGAAGTTAGTCCCTCAAAGACACACTGCCCATTTCTTTAAAAATATGAGTTTACAAATTATATTCTAAAAACTTATTTACAAATAGTTACAAATTGAGAAAATAAGGTTACAATCATTTTGGAAAATGGCTTATACAGTGGGACTAACTTCATGCACATTTCTTTAAACTATGACTGTATAGTTAATTTCTTAATTTTTTCGTACACCGTTTAACCACACACATTACACTGAAAAAACCTTGGTAATTTTGATAAAAATATGGATCAACAAAATATTTGTCACTAATTATCTTATGAACAGATTTGATCAACAAACAAAATTAAATTGTCAATTTATAACCATTGTACAAACATATTTCATCAATTTGATTAAACTTTCATTATTAATATGATATGATATCATCATAAATAACATAATTTTAATAAAAAAATCTGATAAATAGGATAAAATATTTCATTTATACAAAATTTTTGATAAACAAATCATAAGAAATTTGATAAACAATAAACGATAAACAAATAATTCTATCAGAACAAATGATAAAATTAATAGGACTATTAATTTTACCATTTCATTAACATTTTCTAATCATCTCAACTGAAATTATTATTGTTGCATTAAAAAAATAATATACAAATCGTAAATATATTTAGTTATAGGTAGGTATTGAAAAAAATTATTATATTTTCTTATTAAGCATATATTTTCAAATCTTATTAAAAATAAATAAATATAACTTATAGGTAAAACAATGTAGGTAGGCTTTTATATATATAATAACATAATAAATTTTACATAAATTATACAATATAAATAAATATAAATTAGAATAGACAAACAATAGTTTTATATTATATTAACTTAGTGTTATAAAAATGCATACACATATAATAATAAAGAAATCAAATAAGTAATAGTTTAGTATTCAATTTTAGCTATACGATACAATTAAATTATATAATTACGCATTCTATTAAATTACATAAATGAATATTTTTAGAAGTATAATACATATTATTGTTATTTTTATCAATATTTCATGGGTATACAATTTATTATCACTTTCTGTATAATTATAAATATTAATTTAAATAACTTTATTTATTTTTAATAATTAAGGAAACTTAGATTATAAAATTTAAACCATGCAATAGTTAGCATGTAAACATTTAATATTTATTATACAATACAAACATAAATCGTGCCTATAAGACGAATAACGGAGGAGTTGCAATTGTAATAAATAATTAAACAACATAAAAATTTTACCACAAATGTCAATATTCACAGCTAAAGTGATGGCAATAAACAAAACCATAATCTCCATATAATACACAAACACCAAAACAAAATGTATAATAATCGGTGATTCACTCAGCAACTTAATCGCCATTACAAATATGCAACATTTAACCGTTATCCCAAAATTTATCCAAGAAGAAACATTTTTAGCAGAAAAAAGAGGAAAGAACCATATTCAATAAATTTGGATCCCCAAGCACATAGGTATTTCAGGTAACGAAAGAGCTGACCAAGAAGCACTCAATGAGATTACCTAAATAACATCGTTAACCATAAATAATACATCATACTCAGATGGGAAGAACGAAATTAATTTTTACATAAATAATAAATGGTACTCTGGAGAAACGTGAACACCAAAATAAATAAAACAAAAAACAATACTAATCTCTGACCCGGACTAAATAGGAAAAGATGAAACCGTAATTAACTGATTCAAAATTGGACACACTTACCTAGTATAAAACCCTATTTTCCCC